AACAGATGCGCTTTATCCACAACCACATCCAAGAAATACAATAAAATCCTCATTTTGATTTAGATATTTTAATGATTAAGTGATAAATTGGTAGTTTTAGCAATTCGTGGATATTCTTTTTTTTTTTTGTCCATCGTCCTTCACAATGCACCTTCAACAAATGTACTCTTTAGTATGGAAAAAAGAAATATTAGCAGATGATTGGAGCAAAGCAATTCTGCTCCTAATTTTCAAGAAAGGTGATAGAGCATACTGCGACAATTATCGAGGAATAAGCCTACTAGACATCTCAGCAAAAATTTTTACTTCCCTGCTACTCAACAGACTTATGGAAGTACGGGACAGCAGGATGCGACCTAATAAGCTGGTTTCAGACCAGGGTGCTGTTATGCTGACCAGATATTCACGTTAAGAAGGGTGTTGGAACATCGTTTCAGATATTTGCAACCTACTGTCACGTGTTTCATCGACTTTGCAGCTGCCTTTCATTCAATTGATAGAGTGGCGCTTTGGAGGATGATGGAACGTGACGGTGTTCCAGAGAAAATCATTAGACTCATAAAGGTATTTTATGAGCGCACGTCGGCGCAGGTCTATGTATATGGGGAGCTGACAGATTCCCTCGAAATAAGAACAGGTGTCCGTCAGGGCTGCGTCCTTTCTCCCACAATGTTTGACTGTGCGATAGACTGGATAATGGACACTTCTTGTCGGCACTCAAGAGTGTCTGAATTAGTCAAGAGAATCACAGATCTTGAATACATTGATGTAGCCCTTTTTGTTGACAGTTATAACCAAATGCAAGTAATACTAAATAACTTGTCAGAAACTGCAGAAGAATCGGACTTAGAATTAATGTAAATAAAATGAAAGTCTCTTCATCTTATGTGCAAGAAGCTGATAGCTGATAAAATGCCTCTTTTTGTAAATTCATTGCCGGTTGAGGAAGTGCCCGATTTCAAATACCTTGGGTCCACTCTAATACCAAATAGACAGGCAAAAGATGATATTCACGACTCGCAGCTAGAAATGCGTTCTTCCGGTTGACGAAATCTTCATGGAGTCGTTGTGAAATCACCATAAAAACGAAAATTCGCAATCCGCATCTATATAGCCGTGATCCGTTCGATTTTGTTATATGGTTCTGAGGCATAGCCAATGAGAGTGGAGGATATTAAAAAATTGTCTTTAATAACTCTTGTCTAAGGTACATATCCATTAAGCGGATAAGATATCACATGATCGCATATATCTTCGTTCAAATACCACTTGCATAAATAATGTTATCACAGAGCGCCACCTTCACTGGTTAGGGCTGGGCACATTCTCCGTCCGTCCACCATAGAAATTGATGCATATTTCGTTATTTGCTAAACCATGTGATGATTGGCGTCAAAAGCGAGGTGGGCCAATCAAGACCTGGACTGATACGATGAGAAAAGATTTTGAACGTATAGGTGGACCAGCAATATATGGACTTAGTCGATAGAAAAAGGAATGGTTTCCATTAATGTTGCCGATATCATCAGACCACGTCGCTTGGAAGCGTCTTATCGTTGTAGCCGTTGGAGCCAGCATAACCAGTAATGGTGAGAGCTGTTAGAAGAAGAAGTAGCCAGCACCAATGCTTCTTCGATCGTTGATGAAATTATCTGAATTGCAATTTTACTGGATTCTTGTATATAAAGAGTTTCGTCTTATATTCTCATTATATTTATATATTCTAATTTGTACGATTTGTACGATTTGACCGATCTGTATACCTCTTGAGTATCAGAAAACGAGGTCCCTAACCCCATCTATACAGTTAAAAATTATAGAACAAGGAATAAGCACTGGTGCATATTGGTACATATTTCAAAACGTTGTGCCGATTCCCCCTATACACATCTACGCTGACATATGCCGATAAAATGCTTCGATAATCCTTTTCTAGAACCCCATCGTGTTGCATGACTTGCCAGAGCTTAATAAATACCACTCTGTTGATCAAATCAAATATAGCAGAAAATTACTTTCCAATTCCAATACCCTCTCCCTGAAAATTTGGTCAATAAAGTCACCCTCTGGTCTAAATCTGTTAGAAAACCTCCTCTATCTTGCATTAAATCAGAATTACATGATCGAATCACATGTCTTTGCTTCTTTCCATCAGTGAATATAATCTTTTGCTGATGTGTCGTAGAATGATGCTGAGCATTTAAAGCATTCAGCTCGCAGACTCTTTTTCGGAAATTTTACTGGACTTAAACTTGTGAATAACGGAAATTATCTCATGATCGGTCGGTGCTTTACAATTGAAATCGTGCGACTCTAAATGCATTCCAATCATGATACTAAATGACCTGTCAGCCACTTTAAATTCGAAGGGCTCTCGATCCCCTTAAGCTTATCGAAGATCACCTTAGGGGAATTTCTATCCTTAAATCATTTCTCAAGCCCCGGTTGTCTTGCAGTGTGGGCTGAATAATTTTTTCTGTATTTGTGAATTATCAATAAATCAAAATCAACACGACTGATGAAAAAGACCATAATAATCGTCGAAAAAAAACCTTGGCTTGGCGAAGCAACCACTGAGAATGAAAAGCATAAATCAATAACCCATACCAAATTCGTAGTATATTCATATTAAAAATTTGTCTATTTCGTCTATTTCCTATCATTCAAATCATTTAAGCTACAACAACAATAACATTACATATCTATTACATATCTATATATACTATAAAAATTCTAAGAAAAATGCAGAATATCAATAAAAATTCTTTTTTCAAAGAATTAATTGTGCAGAATTTCCGATGATCAATTTCTGATATGGCAGGCGTAAACTTAATATATATAGAGAGGTGATTTCAAAAGAATACAACTAACAATTGACCAGCATGGGGGTTTTCGTTGTAATAAACTATACGCACGAATACTGGATGACAAAGGAACGATGAACAATGCTATCAATAATAATTGAAGAATTACATATGGACCTTTCGCCATTCTAATCTTGTACAAACAATAATCATCTCTAATTAGGCTTTTCAGTTCCATGGACTTGATCACTAATCACCAACAATGTATGTCGAACGAAAATTCAAAAAAACGTTAAATATTCTTCTTATATATTTTTCCTCTCACGTAATTTTAGAAACTGTTACTGATTTGTCCGCGCAAACTTTTCGATATACCTTTCGTAGATTTGTTGCTAAAGATTCTCTCAGATAGTATACCAACTTTTAAGTAACATTAGAAATTCTAAAAGTCACTATGCTATTAAATGGAAATCCATCATATAAACAACTCCTACGAATGACGACTGGTAGAAAATATAGAGAAGAACAGCAATAGCAAATGATGCGGAAAGTATCGTTAATATGAGACCATTAACACACGTTCTAAAAATCTAAAGGTGTTATATCAACTGCTATGGATCTAATTCAACCAAATGCTTCTTTTTGCTAAAAATATTGAATAGTCATAGGATTTCTGTCATCATTACTTGAATATACTCAACGAAAAATCAAGCTGAAACATCGTTCCACAATAGAACGTGCCTCTTAAATAGGAGAAACAGTAATAGCAGCAAATGGTACTCAACCAAAAAGAACTTGGCTAGTTGCATGCACAAATTTAAGTGGAGATAATGTGCAGATATTCGTTCGGTAAGTTACTCAACAGAAAAGCAAAAAGTAATATAGCAATTTGTTATACCCACTGATTAATTAAACAAATGTTCTTCAATATTCTTAAGACCTAAAAATTGACAAATATTCAATTTTCAACAGTGCAAAAAAGATAATGAATTTATTGAACCATGCAGAATCAAAAAGAATTTAACGAAAACATGAAAACTACGGCAGCGAAAATTCTTGTTATCGTAGAGGTACAGGAAATCAATGTGAGCGAAATTCGCTGGCCGAACATCATCGACTACCCCACAATCTATCTATAAAAGATTAAACGACCTTTACAATCGATTTATAACCTCTACATAAAGATTGTTGTTGTCAAGATTGTTTCAGTGTTATTTTATCTTTGTCAACAATTTTCTTTTTATGACAATCATCAATAATCAACTTAATTTAACTTAATTATCGATCGAATAAGCCTTGTTCCTCAACATTTTCCCACATTGTATTGCTATGTTATACTATTATATTGAATAAATCACGATTAGATTTTTCACAGATACCTTTGTCGAAAGGTCGATATTTTTTTTAAATTTATTTTTGAAAAAAGTAGATATATCCCGTAAAATTCGAGTGAAGCTAGGTAAATCCATTGTATTTTTATCGTCAGTTCTCTCCTTAGTGAAATCTAATCCAAGCCGGTGAAGCAAATCTAATCAAAAGTGAGAGCTCATCTATATATATCTTCTTCTAACAGCTCTTACCATTACTCTCAATCTATATATACATTCGTTTAAAAAAAAATTTCTTTCTGAACTCCTGATAAGTCATCCTCAATCTTGAGTTCTCTACCAGAGACCTAAAGTACGTCATCTGCTCCCACCAGTGCATTCTTCTCTTCTAGATAAAGGTTTCTGATTTCTGTTATTCCTGGAATCTACTGAAGTTATATTTAAGGGTCGAGGGTCACAGTAATACTTCAATTATCAATGGGGATACTTTGGTTTTTACTTCCTTTATCTTCCATAGCTCTTCTTTCAGTCTAGCATGAAATTAACAAAAAAAGCCGGACAGAAAATGACACAAGAATAAGAAAAAACAAGAAAAATAAACAAATTATTCATAAAGAAAGAGAAACAGCAAAAGGAGGACGTAGAGAGAAATCCGAAGACTCGTATTTTGATCTGAATATCGATCTTCATAAACGAAAGAAAAAACTGCACAAGTCTAAAAAATCTAAACCAGCTTTAAAGAAATGCATGATGGGACATTGCATAGATTAGACTTCAGTACCTTATAGCAACATTCTATGCTGCAACTTTGAACTTTAGAATCACACCTTTTCTGGACACACAACATACACTAATTAATACTTACATATTATAATTTAGAACATACATTGTAATTAATTTCTTGTTCTACAAGTGGCGTTTCGAAACCACAGTTCAATACTCGAGCAACGGCCATTTCAGCATATCCTAAAAAATAATTTTAAAACTTATGCATAATAACTATGGTATGAAATTTTTTAAAAGCAGTTGTATTTTTTTCACAATCTTCCTTAAAAATCAACCTTTTCCATGGGGACCTCGCATTCGAACAAATTCGAAACGACGATGGGATTTTGCAATAAATTTGTTGGCCCACTGCCATTTAGATGATGCCTAAAAACAAAAAATAAATAAGTTAATGCGCCTTATTAGTTCTCGAAATTCAAGATCGTAATAAAAAAATATAAGTGTTGGCATAAGCATTAATTTAAGAAAAAAAGAAGCTTACTCGTGAATCATATACTTGTTTGATTACTTCATATCTTATCGAACCTAAAAATACAACTGCTTCTCGATGCTTGTATCGGTCTTTAGCAACGAGTTCAACACAAACGCACTCACCATCTCTTATTACCATATCGCTAAATGCCTAAAACAAAGAAACTAAAGAAACTAAGATATAAAAAAATCAGTTGTGACTAAATCAAACAAAAATACTAGAAACGAAGAAAAAAATCTACTCATCTGTTCAAAATCATCAATGGCGAAATATATTTTTGGAAAAGTGATTTCTTCTTTTTCGCCTTTATCATCCATTCTTCTTCTACTCGGAGAAGGATAAACACGCTATAATTGCAGTGAAATACAATATTTTGAAAAAAATAATACGCTAAAAAATACGCTAAAAAAATTTGAAAAAAATTACTTGAAAATTCTTGCGAAGAATCTGCAAATTTTGAGGACTTGTTTTTGTACAAACAGCACAGGTTACATGAAAATCAAGCTAAAAATATGTTTTGATTAAAAAAGGAAAAAAGGAAAAAAGACGAATTTTTATGATGGGGAATCAAATGAAACACCTGTTTTTCTCCTCTTTTTATTAAAAAAATGATCAAATAAATACAAATTTATAAAATTTACAAGAGGAATTTAAGAAAGAATACCTGCTGCAGAATTAAATTAAGGCATACTGTTTCTTCCCAATTAATATTTCGATCACCAACAATTGGCTGTTTTGGACTTTGACGTCTAAATACAAGCAGCCGCGTATTCTAAAAAAAATAAACTAATAAAAAGGAATAAATAATTTGTAAATGATATTAAGTTATATAAAATAACTAAATAATCGAAAAAAATTGAAAATAATACGTGAACCTAGATTCGTTTTAAAAAGAATAATGAAATTTAGCAACTAACATTCAAGTCAACGGTAAAGTTTTGGTTAAATCGCTGATATGGTACATACCAAAGCATATCATCATCATTACGAATTGTACATGATTTAAATGTACAATATCTTTTACCCGAAATAAAATTTGTAAATAAATTACACCATTTTTCCTCTTGATTGTTCACTATCGATAAATCTCCTTCTAAATAAAACCATGACTCATATAAAACTCGCGACAAGGTCAAAAAGTGATGCGCAGAAGAAAACAACTCGAAAAAAAAGCAAACCAAAAGTTATCTGAGTTCTTCGCAAATTGGAGATCCTTTTCAAAAGTTCGCTAAAACAATCACATTCTTTTGATGATGATAAAGGCGACAGTTGCATTCAACAGTACCTATAAGAAATGATTCTAGAAAAATATACGCGTAAATGTGGAAATCCAAATAAAAATATAAATAAACACAATGAATTAGATTTTTAATCCAATAATATCGATAAAATCATATTGGCTGGAAATATTAACAAAAGAAAAATATCAATCCATTTCCATGAATATTTTAGTTATAAAATTCCCAAGAAATTTTTCTTTGCATTATTACAACAACTAAAAAATTTACTTAGAAAGAAAAACTTCTTTCACTTTGTAAAAACGGCGAAAATAAATTAAATTAGATTAGAAATCTTAGAAGGAATTTTTACATTTGACAAAACTAGGAGCTATTGTGGCAATTAAATTTGCCATTCATGAATTCGGGAATATGGGGGTAAACGGCTGAGGGCTGCTGCACACATTTCTCGCTTCCGCTCGCTTGGAGAATCGAGTGCGGCGCGAGTCGCGTGTGCTTCTCTCGCCAACTGCCGCCCTGCCTCCCGAATTCCGCTTCGCTCGCGAGGAAATTCCGAAGGTCCTTAGAAAAAATGCGTATTATATAATGGAAATGAGATAAAAATTTATTTAGAATAAAGTTTAGAATAAAGTTTTTTGCAAAAACGCAGATAAAAATTTTTGCTAAAATTGAATTTCAAGTGAAAAACGATAATAAACAAACGAAATTTGAAAAATATAAAATATTAAACGGAAAAATTGGTTTTCTTTCGATAAAAACAAATATTTTCTTTTTCCTAAAAACAAATTTAAATTGAAAAAAATAAAAAATATTTAAAATTTAAGTGTAAAAAAGTGTTGCAAAAAATAAATCGAACATTTCGAAATAAAAACGAAAAATTCACAAAAATATTTATAAAATTAAAATTAAAAACTTTAATTATAAAATTAAATTAAAAACAACCTTTTCAGAAATTTAAACCTTTTCAGAAAAGAAAACTTAACGTAGAAATTTGCTTAATAATATTTACATTTTTATTGATTCCAACAAAAAATTAGCCTTCATTCGTTTTAAGACCGATGCATTTGAATTCTCTGCAACCAGAATTTCAAATTAAAATACTTTAGAAACCTTGTTCTTGTTGCAGGCAAGCAGAGCGATAAGAGACATTTGATTATGAAAACAGATACAGTGAGAAGAACTGATGAAACAGATTCGAAATTATTACTTAAATAGTTAGAATTAAACATTTTTAAATGATAAAAATAATAGGAAAGAAAAATGAAAGTGATATGGAAATGGAATAAGTTTACAAAGAAGTACATTGGTGGACAAAATTTCATTTCGAAGTTCCAAGTTCGCTGCTGGAAAGAGGCGTAGATGAGTGATTTTAAAAATTGGCTGCACTGGCTATAGAATAAGAAGCTTCCAGGTATGCCAACCGGGTGTCGTTAGCCGAAGCCACTCTTTCAATCATCCAAAGAAAACGCACAGCTGCTACCTCTTCAAAATCTCTCGTGGCTGTCGAATCACACATCGATCTCCTCATGGCATATACAAGGAAATACGAAAATTGAACGTCACTGCATAAGAACATTATCAGTGGCAATATCGTCGGATTTATACGGCATTTGAGCGAATGTCAGCAGTCATTTAAGATTAGAAGTACGCATATGTGTGACTATCAGAGTTAGACAGCTTCATGTTGCATTTTCGCTGGCTCTGTTTCGCGGCAGTATATTAGGATTTTATGGTACAGCCAGTGAACTTGTTGGCGAACTTTTTTGAGTACCGTAATTGCCAAAGAAACGGCAATGCTGTCAGCGCATAACATTCGATGCCGCGATTCGCCTTCGTTAGAAATGCTTTAAAAGCACAAAGAGCTTAAAAATTTATATTTGCTGTAGACTTTTGACGGCCATAAAAATAGGGGGTCAGTTTAGCGATCTCCCCTGCTATATCGCTTTAGATTCCACACGGTGCTATTAAGCAAATTAATTTTGGTTTTCGTAAATGGAATAAAAATATCCAAATCATTATAAAGCATGTGAGCGCAGCAAAGTGTTCGTTACTCTAATGACATCGCGATTATTGCGACAAAAAAGGACAAATTTGAAAATTCTTTTCGAACTTGCTACTTGTTTTTCATATAGGAATTGCACCGGTATGGGAGGGGGTGTGGGGAACTCCTTACTCCAATCGCCAGTAGAGCAAGCCAAATCAGCAATGGTCCAAGTTATTAAAGGAAAAAGAATTGTATTAAAAAAATCCCTGTAGGATAAAGGTCATTCACAATCTCGAGACCTCTGTTGAAGTCATTTAGAGATCGCATTCTTAGTGCTACAATTACTTTGAGACCACTTTTGTCTTCACTTTCCGCATTTTCCATTGTTCTTCTTTCAGTCTCTGATATTCCTCTCATAATTCTGCTTCCTATCACTTGGCATTATTATATTTGTCACCAATTCTGATTTCCGATTCTTATCACGATATCTGATTATATTTGAATGGGGAAGTCCCACAGGATCTTTGCTTTATTATTTTCTAGGACTTTCTGAGGAATCTCCCATACTCTTGGGAGGGCCTATGTCATATGCGGAGCAGATATTCCTATAGATGATACAAAGTAGTTGCATTTCAGCGTGTTGTTTCTGCTTCTTTTATTTTGCATCCTGTTTCGGGTGGGTTTTGCGCAATTTCCATCTGGAATCCTATCTAATGTGGTAGATTTCTGCTTCGATGGATCTGATGCTAATACGTGCTATTGTGGTGCTATATGATCAGTGCTACTCTTTAGTCCACTTTTTCTCGACCACTAGTAGGATTTTTCAATGTCAGCTACCACAGCTATTTGTCGATGGTACATGGAAGGTACATCTTGCTTTGCCATAGTAGCACTATATGATGGGTGAATGGCTGAAGTTAGGGTTATTGCGTAATTTTAAAGAATTGCAAGAAAAAAAATGGAGTAAAATATTTTTTAGAAAACAGAAAAGGAAGCCGAAAATTCTTTAATGCAGTCAATTTCTTGAAATTCATATTGATCAACGTGACAAATATCACGAAATTAGTTAAAGTGTTAATCTGTGGTTTAGCTGCGACAATTGTTCTCACTCAACGTTTGTTTAAAAACGAACATTATATGTGTGTTCTTGTAGAGATTTGGAAGACTGGCGAATTAAATTTATATCGAATTACCGAACACGAACATGAAAACCATATACTTTAATATTTCTCTCATGCAGTTGCAAAACCAATAAATTATTGAAAATTTATCAGCTGACTTTAAGTGAAATTTTTTGGTACTAATTAACTAACTAATTAATTATCAGATGATGAAAGAGTTTCGTGAATGTATTGAAATCGACCTCCTTGTTTAAACTGTTCTACTGTGTGACCATTGCCTCGAAGGTTCCATTTTGTTGTTAACAAGCCTTCTAAACCAACGGGCCCTCTAGCATGAATGCGTCCTGTGCTAATGCCTATTTCAGCGCCTGAAACAAGAAATAATACGGAAGGATTTTTTTTTCATAACCATTGCTTCTCTTAAAAAACCACCAAAAAATCGAATCTATATGGTTATGACTGTAAGAACTGTAGAAATGGGTTCGATATAAGTTAACTATAAGCATAAAATCGAAAAAAGGGCATTTTTTAAACGAAATTTCTGTACCACTTCAAGGAATAAGATAAGTGATAAATCAATTTTGAAAATAAGCAGTCGCTATGAAATATTTTTCTTCTTTAGGTAATGTGGAAGCATTTATTATAATATAAGAATGAAATAAGCATTAATTACAATATACACAAAGAATTATTATTATTACTATTATTATTATTATTATTATTATTATTATTATTATTATTATTACTATTATTATACGAATTTTGAAGATCTTGATGCATAATTTTGATTGCTTGAGTTTTTTTAAGTTTTTGGACCAAAAGCGAAAAGCCTATCTTATTTTTTAATTTTTTTCGTTTAACTTTTATAAATACTGTGAAAATCATTATATGCCTATTAAATTGTAACGTGTAAAATGAAAGTTCACCTAAGCCGAAGCGATATCCATCGGCAAATCGTGTGCTCGCATTATGAAATACACAGGCACTATCGACTTGTCGCAGAAAACGTTCAGCAGTCTCGGCTAAAAAGCATTTGGAACAAGTTTTTAGAATAAATAATAGCATAATATTCCATATTCATTACGAAAGAAATCACAGAAAAAAGGTCATCTCATGATTTTTTCATCGCATAATGATAAAGATTTTCTTTCTGAGCTTTGATATTTAATTTAAATATACAATATGTCTTAATTTGGTTCACAGTTAAGAAAGTGGTTGGCGCTCATTATTTCTGGTTAGATTAGCTTTGCTAGTTATTAGTACGGTTAGAAATTTTTGCCGCAGGGTGAGAGAAATATAGATGAGCCACCAACAATAGCATTAGCGGATTTTAAACAAGAGGCTTGCTATCTGGGTCAGGGAGTCGAGCCTATGGTTCTCGAAGCGAATCGAAGCAACCATGCCACTCGAATATGCATTTTATAATTACTGATAATATTCGCTTTCAAATTTATTTTGTTCTATCAAATTTATTAAATTTAAATTTATTTAGTAATTTAGTATTTTATTTAGTATTTTAGTAATTTATTTAGTAATTTAGTATTAAATTTAGTAATTTATTTAGTAATTTATTAATTTATTTTTTTCTAATCTAATCTTCTAATCTTAGAATTTTTGATTGTAACAGATAATACGATCGTAGTGATAACAATCATTGAAGTCGCTCGAACAAATAAATGCTAAATACTTAATAATATGAACATTATAAAAACCGTTTTTGGTGATAATAGAATCGGTATGTGCACTCCCATTTTTCATGATATAATCAATAGCTTCATCAGTTGAATCGACAACCTCTAAGGTACATTCAAGCGTTCCATATTCGAATCTTAGTTTTTCTGCCAATGGTGGACCAAATTTTTGAATGGACTACAAAATGAGTCTCAAGAAAATTAAAAATTCTTAAATTTGCTCAGTAATTTTTTGCTATCTTTTATCTTATTTACTGCTCAATGTTTACAGGCAATTTGGTAAAATATTGAATTTTTAGTTGAATTTTTTTTATTTCGCTTTGCTAGCAAATGCCAAAAAAGTGCCAAATTGCTTAAATAAGGACAATTACAATGAAAATTTTCATTTAAATTACGAATTATTTCAATTAAGCAAAATTTATTGTATAATTCTAATCTCATAAGTAAAAAAGTTTATAGACATAAAAGGCTCACATAAAGCTTTGGTCCAACGTGCAGTTGAACACCTTCAGTTTTAAACATTCCACATAAATCATCGAAGAATCGTGTATAAAAAAGATCTCTGTGCATAAGAACCGTTTCAACCGCATTGCACGCTGCAGGATAATCACATTTTGAATCGCGAACAATTTGAATGGCCATCTAAAATTTAGTTGTATAATCAAAAATTTAAAAAAATTTTCTAAATGTCATAATGTCGCTTAGATATTCTTTTATTCTGATCTCTCTTATTATTATCAAATTTTTTGCATCACTTTTTAATGGATTCTTTGATTTTTTAAAGAAAAGAATCACGATTATGAAAGAGAATTATCGACTAAGTGGAACCTCTTTATCAACTTCTTTGTCCACATAGATATTGCAAATACCCTCAGTGTGACCTAATACTGGAATACCTTTAGACAAAGTTTGCATTTTTTTCACTAGGTCAGATGATCCGCGTGGAATCACTAAATCAATCAAGTCAGTCATTTGCATCAAACCTTCAATATCTTCTCTTTCATGGATTAGAGACACCGCATCTCTTAATAGAAAATCCATAGTGCCAAGTGCTTCCTGGAAAATATCGTAGGAAAAACTTCATTTTCAAAAATATTAATAATTTATTATAGCTGCAATGTTAGATTGAAATTTTTTTCTTTCATTCTCATAGCATAATATAATTTTTCATTAATTATCTCAATTCCTGGCAATTCTTTCGAGCATTTTTTGTGATTGCAACGGAAAAAGACAAATGCTAGTGGAAAAAAACCTGAACAATGCTATGCAGCATTTTATTACTTGCTTTTGCTTCTTTTCCGCCTTTTAAAAGAATAGCATTCCCTGAGGCAATCGATAAAGCAGCGACCTAGAATTTTTTGAGTGAGCTGCACCATAGCCATTGAAAATAAAAAGTAACTACTTAACCTGTGGTAAGCAATCCGGTCTCGATTCGAATATAACCAATAATGTTCCAATTGGTACACAAATTTGTTCAAGAAAAAGGTCTTCAGCTATTTTTATGCGCTTTTTAACTCTTTGCAGAGCTGTTTTGGCAGTATCAGCAATCTTGTAAAGTCCAGAACATAATTCTGATATTTTAGCATTGGTCAAAAGTAAGCGCTTAAGTAACGATCTTTCTAGACCTGACAATAGAAGAAATTTAGATGATTTAATGTTTGTTTCTTTTTTATTTCATTTCCTTTATCACGACCTTATCAGATTAGGTAATTGAGCCAATAAACCTACAAGCAACCATTGTTTTAACAATATCATAGAAATTTTTAATCTGACCTGTACTTCTATTGTCAAGTGATTCCCTGGCAAAAATTTCTAAACACACAGTGGCCAAAGATGCTATTTTAACTAGAAAGGGTGACTCCAAACTATTTTCTTGTTTCTTTAGTTATTTTGTTCATTTTAAAATTAAATAATTAGTTTTATAATCTTGATATGCACAGATTTGACTTGAAATTTATTTAAAATTGTTTCGAATGGTACTGAATATTAACCAACCACTGTTTTCGGCATTTTGCACATCAACAGCATTTGCATTTAAAATATCTTTTTCTCGCGCTTTTAACGTTTCAGCCAAATTTACAATAATTTGTGCTCTTTCTTCGTTACTTAATGATTTTAGTCGTCGTCCACTTTCCTTACCTTTTTATACAACAAATTTTATTTTTCAAAAATTTCGATTAGTCCTGCAGGAATTCAAAAAAAAATTGCATTAATATTTTGCTGCACTATTTTCATAAATTTTCGAAAAATTTTTATGAGATTCACTCACATTTTTTCGCAACATCTTCGATTTGTGAATATCCATTTGCACTTGCTTTACTAAACATTGTGCCTATATTTTTACCAGAAACTACGGATATTATCGCATTATGCTGAAGCCCACTTGTTATTACTGGCGTTACTCCATTATCCAATGCTGATATACAAGCTGCGACCTGTTAAAGATAACTGAATGAGCGCGAAAACTTTCTAATTCCAACAAAAAATTAGCAATATCGAATACCTTCGATTCCATTCCACCAGTTCCAAATTTTGAACTCGATCCGAAAGTAATATTTGCACTATTAGATGGGACATAAGTGTGGAGAATTTTTGATCCTTCCACATCAGGAGGTCCAGTATAGACCCCATCAACATTTGATAAAATTACTAGTAAATCGGCGCAAATATCCGATGACAATTTAGCGGCCAAGGAATCATTATCGCTAATTTGCTAAAAAATTCTTGTAAAAATTCTTAAAATTTTTTTATCGGATATGCAGTATACATAAGATGTGTGTAGGATCTACTTTGTCTCAAAAATTAATCCAATTTCAAAGATGGAATTTTAATGAGCAATATTTAAGAAATAAATGAAAATCAGTGGCTAAATTTTAATTCTACCAATGCTTTTGAATCCGGTGCGACAGCATCGTTCGCATTAACGATTGGCACAATATTGAGATTGAGAAGATTTTCAATTGTCGCATAAAGTTGCTTTCTTCTTTGCGAATCATCGATATCAAGTTTTGTTAATAATACCTTAAAACCTTAGTACTTTAATACCTTAGAGATTATATGTCATGAGGAAATTTCGAAAAAGGTCGAGTTAAATGTAAGTTCATATTTGATTATCCTAAAAATTTGTTGAAAAATTTATCTATCCAATAGATATTTCATATCAACATAAACTACCTGAGCAACGGTAACTCCATATTGCTGAAAAAGCTGTTCATATAGACTCATCAAACCAGACATCCCTGAAGCCGCACACGCTCTCTTGTTGATTTCTTGTTCTGATGATCCGCGTAATGTTTGTCTCACCTGTTGCGACAATAAACGTTCATGTCGCAGTTTTTGCCGTCCGAAAGCAACTGCTCCAGATGATACAATTAACACTTGACGGCCACTCCGTTGCAGTTCAGATACCTTTACAAATAAGCAAAAAAAATGCAGTAAGATGAAATTATGTATTTGGCAATTAAATACTCATTTTCAAGTTAATTATACATTTTACATCTTAACTTTAAAATGAATCGGTATACGCAATAATGCATTATATATATATATATATAATCATCTTTATCACGAATACTTTTTTATTTCTAACTTCTCAAGTTTAGATTTAATTGAGAAACTGCTTTGCTAACCTGCTCTACGATTGCAGCGAAACGTCCCAAAGCCAAGCCACATTCATCTTCCCTTGTAATAACATTGCTTCCTAATTTAACCACAATTCTTTGAGCATTCTTCAGATCTTCTCTTGTTTTTATTGCATGCTGCTTCACAACAACAGATGAATTATTACAGCCATTTTTGATTGTTACATTACAAAATTTTTTAATAGGCCAAACTGCGTAACTGTGTGTAAGTGGTGGAAAAACTTGCCTTGATCGCTCAAGAAAATGTGGTATATGCCGATTATTAAAATATCTGGATGTTTGTAGGAATCGTAACATTGGAGCTGAATGGTTTTATTTTACTGATTTGAAAGCTATTTGATTCCATTACACTGATTTAGACTCTATTTGGCATTTTACTGTAGTGATAAAAATTTTTTTTTAATTTTTCACTATATACATATTATTATGTTATATTATTATATCATATTATTATGTGAATATTTATTTATTTATTATTTATCTTTATATTATTATTATTTATCTAAAAAATTTCATCAAAACTTAAATATTATATATATATATATATATATATCAGGCACGCAGCTGCCATTGCAAGATGTACAAAGAGATGGAGGCTGCTAATGTAAAGACTCCTCACAATGCACGGAAATTTCCAAGTCCAATACCCAAAGACTACACAGCTTGAAAGAAGGCAGGTTGGACTTGGTGAGGAAGAAAACCAGTGTGTTGAATGAAACCCGAAGCATTCAGGAATATATCAGCAAAATGGCACCAAAAAATGAGTTGCTGAAAGAATATCTGAAGCATAGTATAGATCTTGGAAAACGATCAAGCAGGAAATGCCATGGTAAAGTAAGGCCCTTCATGGATTGCACCATCGACAGATAGCTAAGGTAGTTGACACTGGATTAAAAGGCAATACTGAGGCATTGATAGAAAGGAACTAAACATCAAATCCATCGAAGCAAAGATCTACCACACTAGACAGGATATAAAATGCGAGTAGGAATAATATACACTGAATAATAATAATATACACTGAAAGGCAAGTAGATAATATCATCTATAGGAATATTTTTGCTCCGCATATTGCTTAGGCCCTCCCAAGAGTAAATGGGAGATTCCTCAGAAAATCCTAGGGAAAGATAAGGCGAAGATTCTGTGTTATTTCCCCAGACAAACAATTACTAGCCAAGTAGATATCGCAGTAATAGACAAAAATCAGAAATCAGCACTTGTTATTGATATAGCAATTCCAAACGACAAGAACATCAGAAAAAAGGAATGGGAGAAGTTAGAGAAATACCAAGGACTGAAAGAGGAACTAAAGAAGATGTGGGAAGTAAAGACCAAGGTAATTCCATTGATAAATAGAGGACTTGGAATTGTGCCCTCTAAACTAGAAAAGTGGCTTTAGCAGATTCCAGGAAGAACCTCAGAAATCTTTATCCAGAGAAGCGCACTATTAGGGATAGCTAAAATACTACATAGAACCTTTAATCTCTCAAGCCTCTGGTAGAAGACTCGAAGTTGAAGATGGTCATGAGAACCTACAGGAGGATAGAGAAAAAATTTTTTTCCTGGTTGTGATGACGATTCAGATGTATTTCTAGTCAAATGACTCCCTGGAAAATTTTCTATTTTTCTGGAAAAAATTTCTGGAAAAATTTTTAATTATTCTAGTACAGCCCAGTCAAACCAGAATTTATGGGCATTGACATATATGTATATAATCCAATTTAAAAAAATAGCGTGGAAAAAGTATGAAAAACTTGTGAAGTTTATGGATCATTTGATAAAAAAAAAATGTTTTCAAATATTGTTGCTGACGATACGAAATTTGGTTAGTTAGTAAATTTGGTTAAAGATGCGATGATTTAATTGATAGTGCAATAAGTTGACAAAAAAAAATTTTCGAATGCGTTGCTCCGTCAATTCCTCCGTTATATTTTAATAAAAAATATTTTAATATTTTAATTAATATTTTATTAAAAAACACCTAAAAAAATGCAAAGGAAAAATGAGAAAAATCATGAAATTGCTAAATGCTTAACTGAAATATTTGATGTTGAATCTCTTTACTTTTCCCAATCTCATAAAATTTATCCAATTCGCAAATCTTTTCAAATAAAAAAGCAAAAAGCTTCGTGAAAGCTTTGTATGTTACCCTTGCGCGTCATTGGGAGACAACATAGTACATCGGATAATGATTAACATTATCTCGCTGTGAATTGATGCTTCGACTCCTGTCTTTACAAAGGATGAATCTATCATTAAGAATTGCGATTCACCTATATTTCTATCGCCAAACGACTCGCTGGCAAAATAAAAATATGATATGAGCAAAAAAGATGAGAAACACAATCGTATTATCGTTTTCATTATTCCAGTTTATCTTTGCAAGAAATCGAATGAAAAGGTTGAACGCCACTGTGATCAATATGCTCAAAGCCCGCAATCATCAAATAATTAAACTATGAAATTTCTTTAATTTCTATGAAGTAAGATAGTTACAATATGTTGCAGTATTTCGCGATGAAGTATCTAACGAAATTCTTTTCATCTCGTATCTGCCTAATTTTTTTTTCATTATCTGCCGATTTTAATCAGTTTATTGATATCTGATATCCAATCATTTTTGATGTATCTCCTTTGAAAAAATTTCATTTGTAATCGAAATAGAAGATCTCAATTTTACCAATTCTTCTATCGCCAGTTCGTATCGTAAAGAAACTAAGGAATTTCAGAAAAATAAAAGAAAAGGCAAGGAAAATTCTGCAGAAAATATGGTTGCTTTGTTAAAGGCTACATGAAAATTGAGCTATGGATGAGTAAGATATATAATTTATAAGATTACGTAAAACAGAATTCTTTAAAATGCTATAAAATTGTGGCTCAATATTAAAATCGCAGATTTCATGATAACTAAAATTTTTAGACAATTGGACTATTTACGTAATTTTGTTTACCTTATTAAACCATATTCATTTTTCAAGTAGGCTCGAAATATATTAATCTATCAATAATAGTCTATGACACTTGACCTAGGTCTTCGAAAATTCTATGAATCAGTCATTTAATGGAGCTCTTTTTTAACTGAAAACGTGCTAAGAAAAAATTAAAGAAAATTAAAAATTAAATAAAAAAAAATTAGGAATAAATTTTCGATTTTCTATAATTTTTACAGTATATTAATAATATATTAATAATTATTGCACTACAATAATGGAAATATTAAAATTTCATTTTTTTCAAAATGAGAACGATAAAGAGAAAATTAAAAATTAAAATTAAAAGAGCTTGCCAGCCCTAAATTTTCCCCTCGAGAAAATACCCTTAGCCAGCAATAAGTATTAGAATATTCAAATGCGTTGGATCAATTTCAAATCTACTGTTCATCAGCCAAACCAGTACAGTCAGTTGAAAAAGGATAAGAATTATAAACAGCAGCTCATTTAATCGACATAATGTGCAGTTTTTCACATTCTCGAAGTGAATAAGCAAATATGATTATCAGAAAATAAATTTTCATCGCCCTTTTCATCTTAAATCCAGTAGATTTATTTCTATATGAGATATATTAAAAGAAAAAAAGCACTACAAAGAAGAAAAAAATGCGATTAAAAGGTAGAAATGATTGTTGGTCTTGTTGATCAAATAAAGATATGATCAAAAATGCTCGGTGGCCAAAATATATACTGTTTGGATAATAAAATATTATTTATGATTTTATTATAACTTTAAAGCAAAGGCTCTGAATGATGCAAAAAAAAGGAAGTTAAGGCTCATCATTTTTAGTTCGACTAACGGTTGGTAATTCGCAAAATTTTTGTCAGAGAATTACTCGATGATAGGTGGGTCGACACCATATCGGTTTTCTTAGTGGCAGATTTTCTCCTGTCAGAACATCGAACCTATTTTGTCCGACACAAATTGAAACAACCATATTGTACGACCATCTCTATCTGATGGTGATATGCAATATTTTGTGGTCGATGCTATTTTATATAAATTAAAACTTGTTTGGGACCATCGTTTTGCAACAATCAGAATGGATTAATAAATGAAATAAATGAAGCAAAAAATCCTATTGGCTTCATTTTTCATTTTAAAAAAAGCTTAAGAATTTTTAGAACCGGTAAATATTTCAATTTTTCGCAGTCGGTGCTGAAATCAAAATAAAATTTCTTAATTGAAAGGAAAATAGTAACATGAGCCGCAATTTGAGTGGTTCTTTTGCAAATATTACCGTATTTGAGAAAAAAGATACTTAAGGATTTTAAGAATTATAAGTGATCCCATAATGATTTGAAAGGAATAAGCTAGCTAAAGATTAGTTGCCCTTTGCTATGAATCCCGATACTTCTACTCAATTAATTTCGACTTATCAACCAATCGCTTTTCTTAATGATTATTTCAGAAATAACTTTTATCAATGTTTTGAGTCATCTCTACCTATCGCTGCATTTCCATACAATTCAGTTGGTGAGTATTGAAAATTAAAGTTGATCGCTAATAGCTCAGGTCTTAAATTATACATATGATTTATTTACTGCAAAAATTGTTATATAATTAAGTTGTTACTTACTACCATTTTTGAGACATAAGGCATTTAATCATTTATAATAATTCTTGCAATTTTTTTATTTTCAATGTTTTTGCAAATAATTGCGAAAATGAATTTTGTAATGAATTTTGTATAATGAATTTTTTCTCAAAGGAGTTCAAGAAAAATTAAGCGGTTCAAAAAATTCATCAATGAACTCTCAATTGTGTCAGACTGCACCGGTAAAGATATGCCTCCGATCGCAGCAAAGTCGTAGAAAGCCCCGAGTTCTATTCACAAATGCACAGGTTTCTATCTTTTATATCCTTCATTATACTTTACAACCTTTCCTTTATCATCAAGCTAAGCGGTAACTTCACATGAAATTTCGATATTTCAAAACTTATTACGCTTGTTCCTTCCGTTTTTTCAGATAGCCTTTAATTCTCCTTTGTTTTTCTTTTTCTTCTTATCAGACTAAACAATTTGAACAAAATCGATTTCAATCATTATTAAAACAATTTTTTGGTGCGAAAGGTTGAATTTCTTTTAAGATCTCTTCAATAAACGAACACTACAACTGTTGCCAATTCATTGATATATGTCAAATTTTTTAGATGTCTGATTAGAACTTGATATTTTTGATTAGATTTATATCATTTAATAAGGTTGTTCTTCAAAGTTTTTATGAAGAATATAAATGCACGTGCGTTGTTCATAATTGAGCATAAAGGAACCAATTTTTCGATTCTGATTGGTCTAATGAAACTATGAAATTCAATGGTTTTTTTTTCAAAATTTTGAAAATCGCTTATTTATTTCTTACTAATTGCTTACAAAATTGCTAATTGTCTTACATATAATATAATATATTTATAATATAATAATATATTATATTATATTATATTATATTATATTATATTATATTATATTATATTATATTATATTATATTATATTATAATCATATTATAATTATTTCAATGGTTCACATGAAAAATCATAATCTAATCTAAAATTTTACTCTTAAAAGTTGTTCAAACCAAACTTAGCGACAGCATCATCGTTGATCGAATTTGTCGAGCACAATTCAAAAATTTGCTTAGTCGTAATAAAGAACCATTTTATGGGTACAAACCAAAATAATTTCTGCATAGTGAGTTGAATATGCATAAACAAGAGTTTTTTTTCTTCTAATAGCTCTCACCATTACTGGCTTCGCTGGCAATAAGCATAAGAAGTCCAAGTAGAAGTTGCTTGAGCCGATGCCATCGTCGACCATTCTAATAGAAGCCATTCTTTTTCCATCGCCTAATTCCATATATTGCTGGTCCACCTATACTCTTAAAATCTTTCCTGATAGTTTCAGTCCACGTCTTGATTGATCCATCTTGTTTTTGTCGTCACCATCACAGTTTTAGTGGCGAAATATATGTCGACTGTTGTGGTGGTCGACGAAGAAAGTTTTAACCAGCGAAGACGGCATGTGAGGATACTTAATGGTATCTAATATATATATATATATATATATACATATATATATATATATATGAGGGAGTCTAGATGCAATCATGTGTGATTTTATCCGCTCTGCACACCTGTAAGATGTATTTGTGGGTGGTCAAAGACAGATAATTTCTTAATATTCTCCACTCTCATTAACCATGTCTCGCAACCATATAGCAAAATCGAACGAATCGTGGCTATAGAATTTATAGTGATTTCGCGACGGCTCCATAAAGATTAAACAAGAGCCTTCTCAAGAGATTACTACAAAAAAATCCAAAAAAATTACCATCTTATAAAGTAAAGTTAATACAACAATATTAGTAATCCTTCATAATAATTCCAAGTATTCAATATCTTTGTTGATTTTAATAAGTACCATAAGTTAGTTCCGGAATTCATTTATGCAAGTCAAATCAAATGAGTATTACTTATTGCTTGAAATTATAAAAATATATAATTTTTATGATTAGTTTTTAATTTTAACTTTATTACATTCTTATTCCTAAATCCTTAAAACATTTGCTGAGACTCGATCGAGGGAAAATGGAAAAAACACTTATAAAAAACATATTTTCTTACCTTCATAATTCTCTGCTGAAAGAGCGCCATGAAATCGATAGAATAATTAGAAATAGTAGGTTAAGAGAAATAGTAATAAATTAGTAACCTCGCTTCTTTTATTCGCTTCTTTTATGCACTAAAACTTTGGAATGCAGGAAAATCTTCGAGAAATCTGGCTGGTGCTGACGATCAACTTACTTTTTTATCGGCAACTGGGCTCTGCTAAGATTTGTCTGGTCCGACAGTCTAGCAGAAGTAGAGTCTGACCAGATATGATCTTGAAAAGCGAAGTGCCCATCACTAAAATATTTTTTCCCGCCTAGGATAACCAAAAAGATTTCGATCATTATTTTGAAATGAAACAATTTGTGAAATTTTTTGCAAAATTTTATTAAAGGAGAAAAGTTTAGTTTACACTACTGATTTAGGTAACTGAATTAGAAGAGCGATTCAAGAAGCAAAAATATTTAAATGCCACTGAAAGAGATGATTTAGCTGAAACTCTCGGCTTGACATCGACCCAAATCAAGATCTGGTTCCAGAATCGTCGTTATAAATGTAAACGTATAGATCAAGATCGAACTTTACAACTTTCATCACAATTCGCGTTTCCAAATCAAGTAATTATTAGCGTCCCTTACGCAAACTTATTTTGCTTAATTAGTGAAATATGTGACCAGATATTGACTTAATATTACACCGCATTATTGAAATTGAAATTATTACTAATTTCTTGAAGGAAATTTAAATTATTTAAGCATTAGTACTATTTGCAATTATTTATATATTCCAGATTTTTATAGATCTTCGATGCATTCCGAATTGGATCATTTAATTGATAATTGGCCAATTGTTATGGAATTAACAATTTTTTTATTTCTTGAATAATCTTTTTTAACAGTTGGATAAACGATTTATGATGGATATGTTTATACATAACGCTTAATTCAAGCGATCATCATTCAATTTGACAAACATCTTTATGATTTTAAAGCTTTTTATATTAAAAAGTATCCAATTTAGCAAAATACAAAAAAGTTGCTGCAAAGATATTTGTTGGTAACTGTAACTGAATTTTAAAATTTTAAAATATTGGGCAACTAATGAGCGATATTGTATTAATTCTCACTTTCAGCCAGTTGCTGAAATTCAATGGAAATTTTTTTCAACAATTTCTCGCAATTTTCGAACATTTAATGAATATTTATTGATATTTATGCAAAATTTAACTTTAGAAAACAATAGTAAAAAACAAGGAAACTTATCTAATTAAATTAAATTAGTTAAATCATAGTGGACAATTTTTGCAACAATTTTTTTTGAAATATTTTTTTTAATATGTTAAAAAGATTTCAAAAAAAATCTCCCTTTTTTAGAAATTGATTGGAGAAATATTCGAAAAATTCAAATTCATCATTCATTGACTGACAAGTTGGCTTTAAAACCTGGTTTTCTAGCAAAAATCATTGAAGAAATGAGTGATTGCTGCGAGAAAATTTGCTCACAGAATAATATCTGGCCTTGCAAAAAAACACTTCGGACATGATGTTGCAAGCTGTGCATTTATCTTATCATCATATTCTCGATCCTCAGCCTCCTGCCGCCTGCAAGTTAAATAGTTTCAATTTATTAATCAAGCTTCGAGTTACTATTTTGATATATTTTTTGAAAATAAGTGCATACGAAAAAAGTTTCAAAATCGGAAAAAATGGTTCTTGAAAATTTCTATTGATTAGAATAGAAATCTCAATTTTTTGTAAAAACAATATGTTCTAAAGTGGTAATAATAAAATTAGAAGAAAACAGGCTAAATCTCGCAAATGAAACAATCTCATTTATTTATGCATTCTTACCATCCTAAAACAACAAATTTGCATAAAAAGATCTGGTCCCAGTCAATGGATTTGTAAAAGAAAAATTTCCCACTTTTTTCTCTGTACGGCTTTGGCGAGGCATTCGTTCGCAAGGTTTAGAGCAAAAGGAGTACCCTAGGCTACATTAAAAGGCGAGAAGAATTTGACATGTATATTTCGGCAGTGTAAAATGAGAATTAGAAAAAAATTTTAAAGGTACTTATTCATGTGAATTATCTGGGAATTAGCAATTTCCAAGAGATGCAAGCGTTAAGGCCTCGAGAGATGATTTTTAAAAACGGTGGATTGGAAAATATGACGAAAAATATAAAGACAATGGGCCTCAATCACGTAGAATATCCCAAATTAAATAGCAGAAATTAATTATACTAATAGACCTTTGAAAATCGATTTCTCATCAGCCATTAACGATCGCATCGAATTCGACGATTAATTTAGAATTGGCGTTAAATTAAATACCAATTCTAAATGATTATTTATAACTTTGAAATAAATATTTTCTCCTCCGAAAGACTGCAATATCCATTTTTAGAATTTCGAAATTTGTTTTTTGTGATTTCCTAAGTTCTTTTCGTGAAGGGAAAAAAGAAGACGTTCCCTCCTAAAAGCACAGAATTCAATCAATCAAGAACTGAACCTCCACTTAGTTCGTCGATTTTGAAACCACGTTTTCACCTGAGTATCACTCATATCTAATTCAGATGCCAACGACGCTCGTTCTGTTGATGCCAAATACTTTTGATTAATAAATCGTCTTTCCAGCAATGCAAGCTAAGAATTAAAATTTCAAGATAAAAGTTAATCGGGTGAATTTTATGTTATCGTTAAAATAGAGATATGCTTGATTTAAATAGAACTCTAAGTTGATAATTTCACGTAAGAAAATAGTTAGCAATGGAATGATAGTAATATTTTCTCTACTTTCTATATTAGACAATGTAAGTTGTTTGAAAATAGGAAAAAATGAAGTATTAGTAAGTAATGTGATTTTATGCATTAAAATATATGAAATTGCGCCAAAATGCATATTAAGTTTTGAAAAAAATCAGAATCAGAAAAAATCAGAAAAAATATTCTAAAGATAAAAAATAAAAGGGCTTAAGGAAAAAAATTCAATTTCTAATCTAAAAAGCGTTAAGAAAATTTTCACTAAATCAAAAGCAAATATTATTACCTTTTTGTTTTGAGATCCATCATTTATCTAAAATTTTTTCGAAAAGAATTAATTCTGAATCTGAGCCGACTAGACTAAATAATTTGTGATAAATCATCGATATACTTATGAATTACCTCAAAATTCAAGATTCGTGAGATGGGATAAACCTTTTAGAGTAAAATTTCTGTTTAAAAAAGCGTACCTGCTTCTTGGAGAATGAAGTTCGAGGTTTTTTATTTTTCGGTGCTGTTCGTTTTTGATATGGATGACCGATTTTTCTAAAACACCTTTCTCTTCGTGTATGCTGAGTAACATTGTTATGAAAGTAGTTTTGTGATTGACTTCCTATTTTATTCAAGATGCTGATATTCAATGTTCTATTAGAATTTTCTTCGCTCGTTTCATTAAAAATTTTTGATAGATCGTGAACAGAATAAGGAAAAGTAGAAAAGGATTTATAAATTGATGGAATAGGAAAGATAATAAATGCATTCGACTCGCATCCCATCGAATTCGATGATATAAGAGATGATGGATCGTCAGCAAGTATGCTATGAATTCCAAATGGCAGCTTTTTCGAAATACTCATATTACGACTGGCCATAATCAAAGAATTGAATGAATCTTTTCTTGCTTTTCGCGAGATTAAAATGATCCAAACAATGAAAATACTAATTGAATGACAATGCAATAACAAATTATTTAATGGTCAAGCGGAATGGTGGAATTTTCATTCATTTGTTTCGAAGCAAAATGTTACTAACATTTTGTGCTTCATTCATTATTATAAGCTTCTAATAATGATAAAAATAAAAATTCAATAGTAATAAAATTTTATCGTATTTCCATGTCAAAAATCAGAATTTTTATTGAAATGGTTTGGATAGATTAATTTTACATTTATTAAAAAATTATGCATATTTTATGTACAATGTATAAATATAAAGCGAAAGATAAAATATTTCTTCGAAGTCTTCGAACAGAAAAAGAGGAAAATTTTTGATCATATCATATCCAATCCATTCAAATGGGTCTAATCATCTCAATTATGCTATTTGTAAATTCAAATGGTTCCATTCGATTAGTCTAAAATGATCCAAATTTAATGCGCGAATTGGGAAGACAGAATGAGCTTTGAGAAAGTTCCCTAAACCAGAAAACTACAAAATAATGTACTAAATTTAAGATTTAGAATTATTATTTTACAATATGGAATATCGATTGCCGCCACTTTAATAATTTTTCTTTTTTAATAATTTCATAAAAAATCTTTCAAAATGAAATTTTAATTAAGCAAGCATTAATCATTTTCTTCATTATTAATTTTATGATCGGTAAAATCAAATTACACTTTTTAATATATTTTTTTATAAAATTTTTTACAAATTTTCAATTATTGGCAACTAATGAGGGAAACGTTTTTAATGAAAAATTTTTCAAATTCAGTGCCGTTTTTATCGAGAGTTTTGTTGGTGTAATGCTCTGTTTCGCTATTACTGCTCTCATTACTCGTTCCGCAAATAATTTGCCGACCATCTGGTCTTTTTAATGACAAATTAACTCCTGTGAGGGTCAACGAATTTATCGAGATTGTAACGACCGAAATTTTTATCATTACAATCAAAATATGCACTGATTAAAGATATTAGATTAAGTCATTAGCAAATCAATATTTTCAATATCAGAATATCAGAAGGATCGAATCATGTTGTATTGTAAAGATGTGCAATGAACATTTATTTTTATTATTTCAATGAATTTTAAAGTAACATAAATGAAGCTAAGCGAATGGGGTGGATGAACCACTGGAGTATCAAAATGAATTCGGAATTTCCAGCTAGAAATTTTCTCAGTAGGAAACGTCTTTTTTAAATGCTCCATCTTCTTATACGATACGATTTTTAAAATTTTAAGCTATTGAGTTCTTTATAAAATCTTTATAAAATCTTAAATCTGAAATTTACCCATTAATTCGTAATCTCTAGAAAAATTTTGGAAATTTTCATGCAATATTCTATTAATATTACATATTACATATTATGAAATTTTTAACCTCTGGGATGATTTATTCTATCCTTTTTATACATTGCAACATATAGATTTTATCCAAACAATTCATATTTGTTGTCTTTTAAAAACTGTTTTTTCAATTCCATCCAATATCTAATATGGTAAGTATTGAAATAAAAGTTAGTGGTTAGCAACCACAGCTTCCGATTATGCTCGTTCCACTTGTTGTTAATCTGAGGATTTAGGAATTTTACCAGAGTCACTTCGGCAGAGCTACAGCTGATTTCACCCAGGTTTTTATAGTACGCTTATTCCTATATTGAGCGGAATTGAATAAAAAGTGCATGGATTTGGAATGTCTAAGGCGAGTAAGAGGTATTTTGCACTATATGCTATATGTGATATGCTATTTGCTGTTATTATTTTTTACCAGTGAATGAAGTTTTCTAAAAAATTCGCACTTAACTTAGCCTTCCTTCACTTTCTTCACCTTCTTTTTGAAAATCTTTTCTTCAATAAAAATTCTTTAATATTTAGCCAAATAAAATTCCTTTGCTGCAGAAATAATAAATGGTTTCCAAACAATGAATGATACTAAGAAACTGATTATTTAAATGAAAAAAAAATCGACAAAATATCAATAATCACGCTTTTGCGCTAAATTTTCGCCACCTCAAGTAAACATCGACATTGCTGATTTCTCTACCCTTAAGGCAAAAGCTGCCACTTTTTAATTAACCTGTAAAAATTTTTCGAGCTAAGTGAATGCTCGTATTTCTTCTACTCATTTAAGATGAAATTTATGATGAAAATAATAAAAGGAAATATACATATATATATATTATATTACATTATATTATATAATAAAAATATATAAAATAAATTTGAAAACTAAAAAAAATGCAAAATTACTGAGAGATAATAACGAATTTCTGAAAGAAATAATTTGAAATAATTTCGACAGAATTATTTCATCATGTTAGCGTATTGCCTATAACAAACTTTTAGACTATCGCGTAATAGCCTAGGCGCTTAATTCTGTCCTAAGGAAAATGATAAAAATGATAAATGATTGATGAGAGAAACTCGAAAAATTCCTTCGTATTTTTTATTCCGAGAATTTCTCTGTTCAATTCAGTGGTAAATAACTAAGCAAAAAGGGGAAAAATAATAAAAGACGATTTTATGCAACCTTTTTTTCTTTTCTTTTTTATTTTATTTTTAGGGAAAAATAAAGAAAAGAAAAATAAGTAAGACGAATATTACTGACTGAAAATGATAAATTTTGCCGTCTCGATGATGATAGTTTAAAAGGAATTAATAGGCGTAACGATATGTACAAGATACATTTTAATTGTACCGTACCGAATTACACAATTATTTATTGATCAGATTTTATATTTCGACAAAAATAAAAGTTTTTTCTAAAATATTTGTTATAAAATGTTTTCCACCATTTCAACCCAATGGTTTATCGTTTAAAGATTAAAATTTTTCTTAGCTTTTGTATTTTGAGTATTGTGTCATCCACTCGAAAAGCCATCGAATATATCGAATATCGGTTCACAATCATAGCAAATTTCAAACCTTTTTCAATTTTTTTAGCCTTTTCTCAACAAAAAACTTGCCTTTTTTTGAAAACTTTAAAGAACAAATTTGACTTTAGATCCTTTAAAAAATTGTTTTAATATTGCAAAATAAATGTACAATAGGAAAATAAAATTATTTAATCGTGGTATAGTCGATTAATTTCCATTTTTCGTTTATATTTTTTATAATGGTGATCAATAACCATGTAAATTGTCTCAAGGACCAAAAACGCAATTTCACAACAAGTTATAAATGATACACCTGACCATAGGCCCAACTGACCACCAAAATCAGATAACATTTTTACAACCTGAAGTCGGTTTTTTAAATTTTATATCGATTGACCCGGAACGCGACCTAGTAATTTTTTCTCTTAGAATTATTAATTAATTAATTATGCAGTCTTGATTTTGAAGATTATTTATTCATTCATATAAAGCAAAATCATTTAATTGTCGGAAAGTAAATCGAAAATTATTCTTTCTCATTAATACAATTGCAAAATAACAAAAAATCTAAAAAAAGTGGAATGAAATCTAAACACAACTTTGCTTGCTTATTAAAAAAATTTTTCAGTAAAAAAACAGAAAATATTCAAATAATTAATAATACTTTTTAATAATTTTAAATATACTTTTGAAATTAGTTTAATAAAAAAATATTGAAGTTTAAAAGGTATAAAAATAAATAAAAATAAAATAAAATAGAAATAAAAAAATAAAAATTAGAAATAAAAATAAATAAAAATTGGCAAAAAAATTAAAACTTACATCGTATGCTTCCGATTCCATTAACATTTCAAAATTTAACATTTCATAAAAAACTTCGACCATTGCACCATTTTCCCTAAGCCTTATCATTAAAGCTACCAGTTATCAAAATAAATTGAAATAAAAGATAATCAAATGATAAGACAATAGAGACTATTTGAGTACTCTAATAGAAACACTTTTGCATAATTCAAGCAATCTTTTCTTTCGCTTTCACTTCTGTTTAAGAAATAAAAATGCTAATTTTCATTGATGTAATGGTATATAATTTATAAATGTAATATAATTTATCTAAATCTTTCTTTGCTTAAATCGAAAGAAACTTCGCCTTACACTATATTTTTGGCAACTAAGAAAAAGTTATTATTGGTTAAAAGTTATTTATTATTATTGGTTAGATTAAACTTGCTCTCCTAGCTATTAGAAATCTAACTAAGGAATTGGCAATAGAAATTAGCTCATCGGCACCACTCGGAATTTTTGATGACGTTATTTCATTCTATTAATTGCATTTTGCAAAGCTGTATTAAAAATTAATTAGATTTTTTTTCTAGGACTTTTAACCAAATTTTTGTTTCATACTTATAATGTTCGTTGCACATTTCAGCACCTTCATCACAGTCACCAATCGAGATGTTTAATGACTTCGATGGCCATATTCCTTCTGAATATGAGACCATATATATAGATTGGTCACAAGGCTGTTGACATCGACAACGAAAACTTCCATGTATCAAACTTAAATCATTGGTTCGGCGTTCTAAGCATTTTCCTGTCGAATGATGAAAATTTTGCACTTTATTTATCGATTTGAATTTTTCTTTTTGCTAATCCAAAAATGCCTGAATTCATCTAGAAAAAAGGCTGAAAAAGACTAAAAACTGAAAGAGCAAACTGGCTTCTGAATCGAAAATTAAACAATGACGATGGCCTTCTGGAACAGGAAATCTTGGATCGCCACATCCACATTCTTTTAGAACCAAATGTTGAAAGCAGCTACGATAACACCCCTATAATATAAATTTAGTCAAAATTTAGTTGTATTTAGTCAAAAAATTATATAGTAAATTTCTATTAAATTTCTAAATTAAAATTCTATAGTAAATTTAAATAACAACGGCTATTTAGTAACGATAGAGATCATATTATAACTATTTGTTTACATTATTTTTTACATTATATTATTGGAATAATGGATTGCATATTTAAAATTTATCTTAGGTTTATTCTGAAATGAGTTGAACGTGAATAAACAACCGACAAAAAAGAATTCGTACTTCTGTTGAATACCGATATTCATTGTAAATATAGTCGTTTGTCTTTCCTCCTAGAACGCACTCACCAAATGGAACTGGTAAACGATTCATCCTCTTCTGTAAATAATTATGCAACGAACAAAACTAAGATTTTTCGGTGCTTATTATCGAACATATCGTCAAATTTTTTTGCAGGGCATAGTCTTTATTCGGTATTGTCGGTTTTATCAGAAATATATATATCTTCTCAACGAATAATAGAGCAATAATATTTTTCAAGAACAAAATAATTCAGTTAAAAAAGTCGATAAAATTTTTTAATTTGTTTAATTTATTATTCTATCTCACCAATTAAAATAATGGAAAAACTAAAGGATATTATGTACTACTTAAGTTAATTGGGGCAGAAAGGGCTGAGTAGCATGGCATTGATTTCGGCGGAATCGATTCTTTGATCCTGAATAAAAAATAAGCCGGGCATCCGAGTAATAACCTTTCTATCCTAAAATGACTTCGTGGCAAAAATTTCTAACAATGCTGGTAGCGGTGGCACTGGTCGGAAACCTAAACAACCGGAAACTCACCAAATGGAACTGGTAAACGATTCATCCTCTTCTGTAAATAATTATGCAACGAACAAAACTAAGATTTTTCGGTGCTTATTATCGAATATATCGCCAAATTTAACCTCTTATTTACTTACTATCCTTAATATTTTTATTGAAGACCATGCATAAATTTTTATAAAGGAAATAAAAAGCGTCTTTCGCCTAAATAAATGCAAATGCAAAAACTCAAATCTTTATGTTATGCATACAATAAATTTCTGAATTCTTGAAAAAATCATTTATTTTAAATGGTTTAAATTTGCCGAACTATGATAATGCTAGAACGAGTGAAAAAGAAATTATTTGATTATTTGAAGTGAGATTTTCATCCTTATATATCTTACCATATCTTACCATATTATACTATAATTAAATAGTTATTTGACCAAGTTTGAAAAGATATAAGAAAGAATTGGAAAGAATTGGCCGTCTTACAAAAATCTTCGCTTCATTTAAATCCATTTTCAAATTAAAGTTGCCACATTATGAAATATTTTTATGCCTATTATTGCATTTAATTATGCTTAATTTTTTATAATGGCTATCAAAATATTGCAAAACATTTGGATTCTAAATCAAGCAGAATAAATTCAACCATTAATATCCTTTTTATACTCACTAATTTCATTCCAAATGATGAGATATATCCTGTTGGCGCACTATATCCGAAAGCATCCTGCAAAATTTACCATTTTCAAAAAATCCGAATTCAACATATTGGTCATTCAATATTGCGCCAGGTTTCTTTTTGGTAATTTTATAATAATTACTAATTTTAACTTTATCTTATTTTTTTACTTTGTTAAATGACAAAAAATTTTAATAAAAAGGGTACAACGATAATAAGGATGTTGAATGATTGTAATATTGTAATGATTATCTTCTTCTTATCATTACTGGTCTGCAAGCTTCAGCGGGCTACAAGTTTAAGGAATTGCCAAGCTGCCAATGCCATGGCTGACAATAATAGAAGCACTTTTTTTCACTTTTTTTTATCGCCTAAACCCACTTATTAATGCGCCATCTGTTCAAAACCCATCATAATTTTAATTCAAAGAATTCTCTGCACCTTATAGAATAAAGCTATCTTTCATACCCTTAATAGGCGCACCATCATCATCTCGGTTCATTTCATTGATTGTTCCAGAAGTTATGATTGTTTTATGAAAAAAGCAGTTCTTATCGTCTATTTGAGTAGCCAACTCCATATTCATGACCATTTCACTCGAATAGAACCTTCTGCTTTGCCGCTATTGCTGCGTCTCTTCGAGGTATCTGATAGCTATGAATTCCTGCATTTTGATAGCTTCTTTGGATTGTTTTGATACCCAACTAATGTATTTTCGAATCCTTATCCTTAGCCAAGTTTTGAAAGCACACCTTTAATTCGGATCAATGGTCATCAGCCATTCCAGAGAAGCCGGTGACATTTACATCAATGAGGTGCTTTGGAAGTGATGATTGAAATACGCTTGCCATTCCAAATCTTTTAGCTTTTAGTCGAAAGATCTTGAATGATATTGCTTCCTACGAGTCAACAATTTCATAAGGATCGAATTGTGGCATAAACTGATCCATAAAGATTTCCACTTTCAGTGTCGCGATAGAATATCTAGCACGAGACATCTCTGCCATATCTCTGAACCTATCTCTGCCATAGTTATTTGCGCAAGAGGCAGAAACATTGATGGCTGAGATATTGCAAAATTTTTGAACGAGTGTAGGCCATATTATCATTAAATGGGTTCAGATAGATCGGATAGAGCATTTTCAAACATCATAATCGCTAATTTCACTTCATGCTGTGAGAAAACAATGAGCGATAAGAATAAAGAAAGATTGTAATATAGCAGGAAATCTAATATTTATATTTATAATAAAAAATTATTGTTGAAAAAGTAGAACTGGAATTAACGCAAGCCATCTTTTCTTCTTATGTTATTTTTTCTTCTTTTAGCTCAGCAACTTTCATCGAAAAATGAAAAATTACGGGAAATGGATATTCATCTTTGTCATGTATTGCTATTCTGACGCCAACTGCTTCAGTTGTTGCCAGATAATCAGAAGCATTCACATATAAAAGCAGCCGTAATCCTAAATTTTATTTATCAAATCTTTCTTTGTTAAAACTATTATACCATTATATTTTTATGCTTACCAATTTATCTTTTCATTGTTTTATATTAAATAATTTATATAACTGAATCTTCCTTGAAGAATCATAAGGGAACATTTTATCATCATTAAATTCTTAATTGGATTGAATTTCAAAAATAGTTGGATTTCTTAAAATTAATTTTCGCATTTAAAGTTTAAGAAATTGCGAAAAAACACTAACATACCATACATAGGCCCCGCTCTCATACTGGTGATATCGGTTGAACGGTTAAAATTAAAAGTGAAACAGTTCCCAAACACTGGGTTATCAACAATCGCAAAGTCTCTAAAATGTTTTCATACTGGTGTTATCGGATTAAAAAGAAATATGAATGAAGTAGTTCCCAAACACTGGATTATCAAAAATGGAAAAATCTCCAAAACGAATAAAATTCGAAAAATATAGTGAAATTTTTATATTTTATTTTAATTTTATAACACTGCTAGAAAAAAAATTATTTATTTCAAAATTTCAAATTTCAAAATTCTTAAATTATTCATTTAGTTCTCCTTAAGATAAATTAATTAATAATTTTATAGTATCTGTTTGTGGTGATTATGATTTGCACTGAATTTCATTGAATGGACTTCGAAATATTTATTCAGCATCTTTCATAAGACTCGAAAGATATACATAATCAAATTTTTCAACGATAAATCTGTAACTTTTGTAGATTAATGTCTTTAATGATAGCTAACTTATCAATATTGCAAGCAGCACCATTGAATGAACATTTCTGAATTAACTGCCTCTTCTGAGTCGACAAAGCAATTCGTTGGTTAGTTGATAATTCCGACATTGCATAAATTAAATTCTCTCTTGCTTTAGTGACTATTGCAACTTCATCGCTCATATTCTATAATGAATTTTTTAATAAATTTTCATTTTTTTTAAAATTACAGGCTAAAATAAATATCATTTAAGCAAATTTATTCTTGTAAATCCATTGATGAGTAAGCAATATTTCCTCAATAGTGCTGATGAAAGTACAAAATAATTATTAAATACAATATGATTTCTCGAAGAATTTATAGACTTAGGTCAATAATTGTTAATACTAAAAACTCGAATCCGGTATATGAATAACTTATTCTTTCCTCTTTATCGATTTTTTTACGAAAAATATTTATTGAAATGTAACATGGAAAGTAAAAAAGACTCAGACACGAGTGCAGTGTGCAAAATGCCGATGTGAAAGCTGCTTTTGTGCTTGAAAGATTTTCAAAGACAAAGATTTTCTTTGATTTGTAATATTGGACTTGTCGTATCCGATTTAAGCAAAAAGTATTTTGAAGAAAATATCTATTGAATTATTAAAAATCTTTATAAGTCGCATTCACTTACAACAAACCCAAGCGATTCAATGAGCTCTTCTAAGTTTTCATTTACTTTTCCTTTATAATATTCCCACAATTTGATAATGATATCCTAAAATTAAGCAATTGTTTATAAACTTTTTACTTTCTAGAATTCTTTATCTCTTTATTTAATATTCAACTTTTTGAAAATTTTTTCACTACCAATCTTATCCTATAAAATATATTTTCTGCTCTCTTTCGATTTTTCTCATTTCATTAGCCAAATAAAGACGAACAAAAATTTATTTTTAAACAAACTTTAAACTTATAATCGTTTAACATTTATTCTAATTTCAAAAAAAATTTATATGCAAAATTTTCTTTAAAACTTTTATGTGCAAAATATTACTAAATTGGTTAAAATAAATACTGGGTCGGCAAATATCGCTAAGTGAATATTATTTACTGATTGAAGCTGGAAACAACAAATAAAATTTAAAACTGAAAATCTGAGCAAGAATTCTAAATAAAAAGATTATAAAAGTGGTAAAATAATGAAACTAACATTATTTTTCTTAAGGCAAAAATCATTGAAATTCTGGCAATAGCACGCAAACATCAATTTTTCAGTTCCTTCTGGTGCTTTTTTTGAACAAAAGTTGTGATCGTTGCAATATTCGCAGACACCAACTTTCCAAGAATTCTTTAATATAAGTATAGGCCTAGCAATAAATCATAGAATATAAATGGTCTGCTTGCTTCAAAGGGGACTGCAGAAAGTGCTACAAAAAAAGTGAAATGATTTGATTAAATTTTGCTTTTTTTTACCTTATCAATCTCTCCAAAAATTTATTTAAATTAGAATCTAGAAACTGGCTACCTTACATTAAATAAAAATAAGCAGTCAGCGCTCCCCATGTTAACTGATTCTGCATAGGAAAAACACCAGAACAAAAAAAAAAAAAACAATGATGGAAGTATAGAGCAGCCGTCGCCAATATTGCGTGGATTTTAATTTTAATGACAGGTTTGTTTCTGTCGCAGAAGCCAGATTTTTGTTTCTCAACACGATGATCTGATCCAGTATCTTACCCTTTACAATGCAATTATCTTACATTATAATAACATGGCCATGCATCGCCTGTATCGCGATCAAACGCACACAAACAAATCGCTTCATCGTTTGGTATCACTTTCACATCCACTTTGCACTGTATGTTTCCATTATTTTCAACACAGCGGCATGATGTTAATGCCTTAATCATTTTAAATAATTCTTGTTTTGTTGCATTCTTTTTAAATATCTTTCATTCTGTCATCAATCAGTTTTTTATATTTTTTCTCATTTTTAAATTTTGGAATATTTTTTAAAAAGAAATGAATTACAAAAACTTACAGGTTCCAGATTACTAATGTCATTCATTTCTCGTTGTTTGCGGAGCTTTGGCAAATTAAGGTTTCCAGCATTTTTCATTACGAAGTTAAAAACATTTAGCTGCAAAATCCTTATATTACAAATTTTACAATAATATCGAAATCATCATTTGGCCACTTTTCGATACGAAAATAGTCCGAAATAATAAGCCCATCGGATACTCAAACAAAATCGCTCCGAGAATTTAAATGTATTCATTATAATCGATGACTTACAATTTTTTGTACTGAATCAACATCTTTGATCAAGCTGTCTTTATATGGATTTAAGTTGCATATAGTGATTGCAGGAAAATGTGCTGAAATTTTTTTTCTTTTTCGATAGAGAAGAAAGTATCTAAAAAATTTAACTTTTATTCAAATTTAGAGATGATAGATGATCGAATAGTGACAAAATTTTATGGCAAAATTTTTAATTAAATTTCACTGCGTGCGCGATAAGTAGTCAAATAAATGTCTGCGGTTTCTGTTTTGTTCTCTGGTATTTTTGTCTAATTCATATCTGATATTTCTCTTTCTAAAATCATTCGGCTTTCTTTAAAATAAGTATATATATATTCATTTATTATAATTTTATTTAATATCATTTGTTTTTATTTTCATTATGGCACCAAAAAGGACCAAGGAATGTTGTGCTGTTGACTACACTATTGAAGAATTAGCTAAAATGCCAACTGGCCACTGAGAAATATGAAAAATACGAAAAAGGAAATGGAAGTAATTTATCTTTATATATATTTAATGCAAGAAGTTTAAAGTATAAACTTTATGACTTACAACTCCTACAAGTCCTATTAATTTATAACCCAAGTAGTATTTTTGTTATTAATGAAAGTTGGTTGGATGACTCCACTGATAATCGGGAATTAAACGATGGCTTTTTAATGTCACGCAAGGAAACAATAAATAGTTTAAATACTCGTGGAGGTGGGCTTATCACGCTTATTTCTGATTATTATAAATTTGTAACTTTTGATTTTGATTTTATCTATTCCTCTTTCGAATCTCTAATAACTAAAATTTATCTTAATGGTAGAAACATTTTCCTTTTAAATATATACCGCTCACCTGGCTATTGTAGTATATTCAATCACTAGGGCTCTTTACAACCTGTTATTTAGATTTAAAATATTTGGTGCCGATTATGTAATTGTTGGCGATCTTAATATGCCAAATATAGATTGGGAAAAGCTGCTTAAAAATAGTAGCAAATTTGAAGAGGTCTTTCTAAACCTTTGTACGTATTAGGACTAGAGCAACACCTTAAGATTGCCATTAGGCACAACACTATTTTAGATGTTGTGTTAGCTGCTTCTACTTCTTTTGTTGAGGATTAGAGTATAGCATTAGAGTCTTATAGTCTTTTTGTAATTATGATCACAGTATCATTCATGCTTTATTGAAATTAGACTGTTATGTACCTCCCTCTAGATATTCTAGAAATTATCGTCACTGTGATTATGAAATCTTTAATTCTATCCTCGCAGAAATAAACTGGGATTCCTTATTCTGTTTAACTCCCTCTATTGATAAAAAAGTTTACTTTCTTAATTGCATCATTTTATACCTTATAGAGCAATATATCTCTCTAAGAAAAAAAAGCGTTAAGTCGATTCGCATTTTTTAAAAATCTCTTAAAATCTCTTTTAAAAAATATCAAGAAGCTTTGTAACAAATACCAAATTGCCACGTGACTTCTTTGCATATAAAGAATGTTTAAGAAGTTTCCATGGTGCCGTTCATAATTATTTTTCAAATAAAGAGGAGCAAATTTTAAATATTAATAGAAATTCTTTCTGGACCTATGCCAAAAGAAAATTTTCAAATCCAAGTAAACAATTAATTCTGCAACATAATGATATTTGAATAATAATGTTATCATATTTGATATTGATATTGCAAGTATATTTAATCAATATTTTTCCAGTGTATTTGTTGATAATACTCATACTTCTTGCTTTAACGTAAATCGAATTTGTTGCACTTCTCTCGAAGTTGACATAACGCTACTGGGTATTTATGATGCCTTAAATAGACTCAAGTCCTCCATTTTAACTGGTCCCGATAATATTCCACAAATAATTTATAAAATGTGCAGTTTCACTGAGCCTTCCACTATTTTTAATTTATAAAGACATTATGAAATCTGGCCTTAATCCCAATGTTTGGAAGTTGTCTCATATAATTCCCATTCATAAAAAAGAAAGCACCTATGACCCTTTTAATTATAGACCTATTAGCCTAACATGCCTTGGTAGCAAGGTACTCGAAAGGTTGATTTGCAACAAATTAGTTACTCATCTTGATACCAATAATTCCATATCCCCATAGCTTTTGTACAAAAAATCCACTTCACAAATATTGGCAAATCTTTCCGATATTAATATTTCGATATTAATTACTGGAATAAACTACCGAACGATATAGCTTGTGCGCTATCCCTAGCTAACTTTAAAAAAGAATAGATAATATCATTTATGATATTATTTAAAAAGTTCAGATCATGCAAGAAGTGTGAAATCTCGATTTTAACCATCCGATTATAGTTATTTCGAATTATATTATATTATTTTGCAATATCCTCTTTATTTCATCTTTAAATTGTTTATTTTAATATTATTATTTTTTGTTATTTGTCATTAATTCTTATTATTTGTCATTTTAACTGTTGTTATTAATACAATCACATGGCATTTGCGCCATGCTTGGCTGGTTTTCAATAAATAATAAATAAATAAATTTGCAGAACTAAGATGAGAAATCAAAAGTGCTATTAACTATAGGAATAAATTATATTATGAAGCTTAGACTGCATAGTTTTAAATAAAAATTAAACAGTATAATTGAGAACATTACACGATTATTGCAACATAACGGCCTAACGATGGATCGAAATAAAGACATTTTTATGCTCAATTTTTTTAAAATTCAGCATGCAGTAACTGCCCTCTTGGATTTTGCTATTATATTGCACAAATTCAAGTGTGTCACTATTTGCCCTTTGTTTAAATAAATAAATGAATTCTTAAGACTCCTATTTTCTGAAATAAATTTTAACCTGTTTCAAATTTCAATTCAATAATGGTATTTTTATCATTTCTTTGGTATTTCGCAACAATGAATATTGCTTGTAAGACGAATACAATTGCACAAGCCAACAATAATGCTATCCAAATCATGCTAAAGATTAGTTAATCGTTATCGATAATGAAATCTCATTTTAATCACGTCACACTGAAGATAATCACCTAAAAATTTGAAGAAAATATTCGAATTTGGATCTATTCATGAATATGATCATCTCTTAATAAGAAAATTTTCGCTTTATATTATTCTTAATTATTTGAAAGCTTTTAGACAGATACCGATAAATATTATTGGGTGCATTTTCCAACATTGGTACACCATGAATTGAAGTTTTATAGCAAAATTCTTTTAAGTGCCATCGTAATCGCTCTTTATACGATAAGCGAGTAACATCAGTTGAAGACGTACAATTATTTTCATTTATAATATCACACTGAAAAAAAAGTGATATTTCTGAATAAATGATTAATATGGTCAGAAATTTTTAAAACTTAATTTTTACTTAAATTCAGGAATTTAAAATAAATGAATGAATAGTTTGGATGTTTTTTGAAAAAAAATTCAAAAATATAGTTTTATCTTTTCTTTTATTCTATTAGTGAATTGAAGTTCTGATTTTAAATGCAGATCGGAGCAAACATACCACTTGTCCATTCCTACCCAATATTGAAAACCCATAAAGAAGGATAAAAAATTTATGGAGACATAAACATAAGCACGAAAAAAGTCTGACAGCAAATTTACAAAGCAAATTTTTAAAAAATATTAATTTTAATATTGTAATATTGTTAATGAATATTATAATACTATTAATATTAATTTTGCAGAAAAATTTTTTTCTTTTTTCTAATTCACTTAAATAAATCGAATCAATATTAGCATTGAAATCAAAAAAATATATATTATGAGGTATATTATGAAATTTCTATTTTTCTCCATGATCTTTCCATGAACAGAAAAACTTACTTGTATTTCTTTTTCTTCATTATCTGATTTAGCTTGCAAATATTTTGAAAAAATGTTTGTTGCAGCATAAAGATCAGTATCTGTCGCTAAATAATTTTGTTCCATCACAACGATTTATATTGAATTTACACTGGACTAGACAATGGTATTAATAAACAGGCAATGAAATAATTCAAAAACAGCCCAAAAATTTGAGAATATTTTAATATTCATGAAGCTTTTGGCCAATTTATTATTAACAAATTATTCTCACTATATGATATGATCTGCCATAAAAACTATCAAAATTTATAAAAATGAATAATGCAATGAAAATTTTCCGATATTTAGAAACGCATGATGAAAATTTTTCAGCAAATCAAAAAATAAAAAAATTTGTTTTTATTTAATTTGAAATTTCATTTTCTAGTTGTTCATTAGATGATGAAAAATGTTTCATATTGGATATATATATATATAATATTGTGCACAAGAATCATGTAAAAAAGAAAAAAAAAGAAATTAGCGATTACCATTTCTAGTTAGGTTAGCTGATTGTTAAGAGAGTTTTTTAGCAGTAAGTCATTGGCGATAGATGAAGAAGTCGCCCATCTACACCATCCGAATTTTTCCATTATAATTCTATTGCTGTTAGCAAATTCCGGTAGGGAATGGAACGTAGGTGTAATGTGAAACCACTCCATTATTCATGCTCACATTCATTAATTTTTTATAGTATCGTAACTAATAAATCTGCCATCTATTGAATTAATGAATTCATAATTAATTACATAAAATGGTGGCATAATTTGTATTCAACAATTATTTAATGAATTCGAAAGTGAAGGAAGAAATAATCGAAGGAAACCTTCTAATCATTACTTCATTTTGTACTGTACGATTACAAGAGAAAGGAACAACTAAAACTCTCAACGACTACGTTAAATGAAATTGTGAAGAATTTAATATTGTGTAACTGATTACGTTGAAGTTAGCTGGAATATATTATAATAAAAAGCGTTTGTTTCGTCGTTTCATCATCGTTTCACCAGCCGCCCAACTAACTTTTATTGCTGCTTTCTTTAAATTATTAGATAATGAGAAGAGAAAATATATTTATTTCTCATGTCGATAGTTTCGATAGGGTAAGTTTAATTATACAGTTATTGTCACTTAATTAATTGTTTATTTCAATATTTCAATATTTGTTTCAGCTTTGAAGAGAACCTTTTGCTTACTTTAATGAACCATGTAATATGAGAAGCCACAATTGTCAGAAAACTTAATCTTCTATACTACATCATCGTCAATCTTTTAGTATATAGCCTATATCATAGAATGCACGGAGCAGATTTTTAAACAAATATTCTCAAGTCAACTCTTTATTATCAATGTTCTATTTGCATAATTAACAAGTAAGATAATATGCTATTCAGTTATACTGAAATTCAGCGATCTGATGCTGGTAATGCATTGGATGATGAAGAAATTCCTATGGAAATGGACCTTACCGCTGACGGGCCACCTATTTCTGATGATGAAACCACCGATATGAATAAGCCAATGGACCGACAATCGCAGATTCTTATGGTTTGTTAGAATAGATTTTACAGAAGTATTCTACAGAATTCTTTAAATAAAATGGCAAACTACAAAAAACTATGGGTAATAAGAAAAAGCTTAATCAAGAAAAATTCATCTCGGCTTCTGAAATATTTTAGCAATTATTACTAATTTTATTACTTTATTGGTGCTTTTCTTTTTGCTGACTAAATAATTTCGAATTTTGAGTATGCTAAAATGATACTTCCACATGTTGGTTTGGTGATCCTTTTAATTGTATATTTATTAATTGGTGCAACGGTGTTTCATTATCTTGAAGGACCGAATGAAATATTGGTAATTTCTTTATATTTTTTCATTTCTATGCTCACAAAATAGAGAACTGATTGATAAATGTGATAATTTATCAATGTTTTCTATGAATTACTTTACTTCATCTATCAATTACAGCAATTTGATAAACTTTGTTCAAGAAACATTAAATTATTTTCCATCACTTAGTTTTTAAAAATAATTCCGTGTTTGCATTAAATTAAAATCTGCTAAAATTTTTTCGACAGTTTATTTGAGCGAAAATTGAAAAGAAAATTATTCATTGATAATCAAAAAATTAAATACGATTACGATTTCATTGGTCGTTTTTTTATTATAAGTGAATAAATCTATGCTTAGCCATCATTTCTGGCTCCGCTGGCTCTAGCACAATTAGAAAAAAGGAAGCCAGTCACATGAAGAACAGGCTATAAGCACAGATGGGTCGCCAGCATCACCTGTATTTATTTATAATTTTAATGCAGTGTTCGTTTTTTATTGTTATGTAACATGATAAAATTATTGATAGACAAGAAATCAAGAATTAAACACGATATTCGAACTTCGTAATAACTTTCATGAAGTCGTCTGGAACATAACTGTTGCTGGTGATAGTTATATCTCTCGAGAAACTTTTGATGGCCTTGGACAACAATACTTCGACGCATTAGTAGTTGCAATATTTCAAGCTTACCGCAATCAGTTTATCAATGAAAACCACCTCTTAAATCGAACCACTGATAACGATACGTTATGGACTTATGCAAACAGCATTTTTTTTGCCACAACTGTTATCACAACAATCGGTTTGTTGGTTTAAATAATTGAAATTGTCCGAAATCTTTATAATTCTTATTACTATAATTCGGAAATGAGAAATCCACATCACACCATAACAAAAAATTTCTTTGCATGGAATTATGAACAAATTTCTAAACATTGTTATTATTCTTTTTAGCAAGGAAGATATGACTAATTCAATAATAATTCAGTAATAATTGTAGCAGCAGTGATAAAATCTGGACGTCATTGATTAAAATGTCCAAAAAGTTAAATTATAGGCTATGGAAATCTAGTGCCAGCAACAAAATTTGGGCGAATTGCTTGTATATGTTTTGCTTTATTTGGTATTCCACTTCTATTAGTGACCATTGCTGACATTGGTAAATTCCTATCCGACTTTTTATGTTTCTTATATCGCACTTATAGAGCTTTTAAAAGAAAGGTAATTTTTTCGATATTTTCATGCAATATATTTGAATACTAAAAAAATAGAAATTTCCACTAAAAGAACAACTCAACTTGGTGATTTTTAAATAAATGAGTTTTATAAGGAATTATTTCTTAAGAAACGATGGAATTATTTTTTATTCATAAATATATCAAAAATTCAAATCAGGTTCGCAAGCATTCTCGAAGAATATCCCATCATGTTCGAGATCGATCCACTCCACAGCACAGTAATTCATCATCTAAGGCTGGGAGCATGAATCTCGATGATATTGGCAGCGAGACAGAATCCAGTTGCCAAGTATGTAAGAAGCAAAGAACCAAAATTTTTTTTGAAAATTCAAAGCTGAGAATGCACTTTTCGAATATTTCTTCTTTAGTACGACAATTCACCTGAATTTTAGGATGAATTGCGAATTCCAGTTGTAATGGTTTTATTTGTACTAGTTGCATATACTGCAATAGGCGGATTACTATTTCGCATGTGGGAAGGATGGGCTTATTTCGACGCTTTTTACTTTTGCTTTATAACTATGGCTACTGTCGGTAAGTGCCTTGAGATTGAGACTGCTAAATATAAATTTCTGATATCCGTATCCAATCCTATAAGAACAATTTTTTCCTTTAAATTTTTTCAGCATATAATTTTTTTAATGAAATGTTTCGATTTTGCAAAGATATTTGCTCTTATATTATTTGAATATCTTCTTTAATCTTAATTAAATGAATGGAACTTACATAATGGAACTTACTTTTCCAGGTTTCGGTGATATTGTACCGACAGAGCAAGTTTATATGTTTTTCACTATGGCTTATATAATTTTTGGGCTAGCATTGTACGTAACTTGGTTTCATTTAAATCGTAGATTCAGTTTCATTCCCATGATCAACCAGAATGCCAATTCAGGCTTATTAGATGAATTGTACTAAAATCGCTGCCTTAATTAAGTTTTCTGTTTTAGAGCCACAATGTGCATCGATCTTGCAGGAACAGAATATATTCGTAAGATACATTATTTGGGCACGAAAATGGAAGACGCAAAAGGAGCAGTAATATCGTTAGTGAAATATTTTTAATTTAAATATAAAATTATTTTAAATAAAAACTGTATAATAGCGAAAGAAATGATTTGTATAAAACTACATCCAAGATGACCAATATATATATATATATTTACATAAACATAAACAAGAACAGCCAGATCCATCGAAACGAGGACCTATCACATCAAACAGGTCTCAAGATGGACTATGCAAAAGCCTCAATAGCCTCAAGCCTTTATCCAATAGATCGTAGCAGGATGTAAGATGCAGAAACTTCATACATCGAAAAGCAGGACTAAATAAATAGCTAGCACCATCTGCAGACGCGAAAATCGTGGAGAATAATAGGGCAAAGATCCTGTGAGATTTCTTCATATAGACAAAAAATTGCTGACTGATCTACCAGATATCGCAGTAATAGACAAAAAATACAAATCAGCTCTGGTGAAAGGCATAGTAGAAAGGTACAAGAAATATTAGGAAGAAAGAATATGAAAAGTTAGGGAAATATCAGGAGCTGAAAGAAGAATTAAATATAAAAAGCAAAAGCCAAAGTGATCTTAGTGATTAGGAACTATATATGCAGGAACATCGGAGAACGCACTGCTAGGAACAAAGATTATATAGAATTCTCAGATTTCTAGGCCACTGAGGATGGCTCGAAGACTCGAAATTGAGAATGACCCATATCACCCATAGAGGGATTTATATATATTTTTTTAGAGTCCTCACCATAACTGGTTAAACTCGACTAACTTGTCGCATTGAGCAATATGCCAGGGAGTCCCTTGGCGATAGAAAACAGGGAGTCGCCAGCATCACCCCGATTTTTGGACAGGTTTATTCCTGTGGGTGACATAGCCCCACCATCAACACTCAGAATTGAGCAACAACCCACTGAACCATTCTATATATATATATATATTTATTTATGTATATATAATTTATAACAGAATTTATATGATAACCTGAAGGTTTAAAAATGAATATAAATAATATTTAATAAAATAATAATAAATAAATAATAAATAAATAGCATAAATAAATATCATTCTAAAAATGATATAAAGAAAATTGAAGAATTTATGTTGCAGCGGTTTGCAAGTCGGAGAACATCTTTTAAAACATACTGGTATTGAAGTGATCCGTACTGCAAGTGGTAAATTAGTTCAAGTTAGAGGAGCTGTTTTGAATTCGAAACAAGCGCGAGAACTTGGTGTGGACTATATTTTGGCCGATCTTGATTATCAACAAAAAAACATTTTATATGAACCGCTTAGTCAGGCTGTTCAACGACTTATTAAAAGCAATAATATTAAAGTATCTTTATTATTATTTATTATTTTTATATTTATTATATATTATTGCAATTTATTATTTCTTATGAGTTCATAAAATAGTTTCAATAAAATAGTTTAAATTCAATTTATCGCCTTCAAATCGTTATTAATCGGATCTAACATAATTTGATATTGGCCTTTGACCCTCGTCAATGAGCAATTAAACTTTAATTTTTATTTTCTAATTTCAATTTCAGATCTTGCCGGATGATATAACTGAAAAAGATGGATATATTGTACAGAATAAAAGCTATGATAAACCAGGAAACAAGTTATATCGAACGTTTCGACGAAAACCTAATTATATTCAAAGGCTCATTGTGCCATCCGATGGCAAAGTTACCGTTGTCATACCATTCATGCTGAAAGAATCTCATGTCTGAATTCATAAACACTTCTTACAGTCCTCACTTCATAAAATGATTTCACTGATTATATTTTATTGCTTTACGGGTCATATAACGATATCTATTGGTTCGTATAGTCGTTTGTAATTTTGTTCGAAGAAAAAGGCAACCATGGCTTCGAACTATAAAATCTCTATCCCTCGCGTTGAAATACTTCGATATCCGTCAAAATATATTTGTAAAAAAAAAGCTCGAGAAACACTCACTACATTCTTGTACCAAAATGCAAGATCATAAAATGTGATCATAAAATGTCATCAAAAAGTTTTACAACTTTCTAAAACTTCATTCCCATAGAACTCAGTTGCAGTACAGTTGTATCATCGCCATCTCCATTATAATCTCTCATTGTCTCACTTGACCTTGTTTTTGCCATGTCTAAATGGCTAATGGCTAGTTATAAAGTCGCAAAGGATAACATGGTGATTGATGAGGGAATAAAATAAAAATTAGAGTAGAACAAAGTGGTGGTTAAATGTTATATTAAGGGAGAATAATAGGAGTTTGGCAATTGTAATAAAACATAGAAGAGTAAAAGTATTTAAAGAATGCAGCGAATTTTGAGGGAAACCAATGTGTAACGCTTTTTAGACTACATTTTCCAGCAATAGATTTCCTAAATTCCTTCGTATCCCTTTAATCCCATTAACATATTTCCTTCTGGTTTTCCTATGATTTATTCATATAAGTAAAAAACTTTTATTCTTCACTTTTTGTTCATCATTTGTTGCGATGGACTTTTGCTAACTGAAAAGTAATTTTCAAAAATTACTATAAATCTGCCTTATGAAGATAAAAATGCCAATGACAATCAAATCGTGAGCATGATGTAAAAACTCCGCTCATAATAGGATTTATAATTTTAAAAAAATCTCATCGTATCGGACATCAGAATATGCATCAAAAAGTTTCTGCTTTAGCAGAAGATATTCAATATTTATTGCCAATAAAAGTTTTCATGCTAAGTTTTCTAATTTAAAATATTCCTTCTTCTTTCGCTGTATTGATGATTAGGGTTTCCAAGTCATGTCTTCCCATCTGATATCATTCTTAAAATTAATTGAAGTCATTCGTTTTTTCGTAATCTGAGACCACTTATGTATTCTTATCTGGCCATATTGTTTCTGAATTGGTCCTCGTTTTTGGCGTAATCCATCACAGGGAAGTAACTAGAGAAATATGCATCGATTCCTGTGGATGAACATAGCTAAACCAGCATATTTGATAATTTAAGACGATATTCCTAATGTAATGGCAAATGCAAATATGAGAATTTTTCCACCTGAAAAGACATTTTAGGCAAGAATAATCAAAGGAGGATAGTTTCATATTATTTTTCCATTTTTCATTCCATTCGAGATGACCAAATTTCAGTAATTTAGTAGGATTGTATGTATTACAGCTAAAGAGGTTGCGGTTTTTGTTTGATGATTTAGCGGAAAGAGATTTCGCCAAACAAAAGCAGCTATCTGACTTAGAATTTTCTTTTCAACTGGCCATTAAAGTGGATTCAAGACTAATATAAAGACTGACACTTCTTCAATTACTATGAATTTTAAGTGAATTGCGGTCTTATCATTTTCTGGTGTATAGGACAAAAAAAGTTTCGTCTTATTTATGTTTATAATATTCCGAAAAAATTTGGCTGAATCTGAGGTTTCTTATTTTCGTAAATTCGTAATAAAGGTGAGGTAAAATTTATTTATAGCAATACATTTGATTTAAATGATATTAACGAAACCAACAAAGAATCGAATAAGATTAAAGAAGCTTTAAAGATATATATATATGGAATAAATATCATAATATTCAAATTTCCAATCGTCATCATCAGCAATAACATAATATAAAAAGATTTGTATTTATAACAAGAATGGGCAGGATTTTCTTCAAAAGTTGGCGTATATCTCTGCATTTTTTCAGAACCTTTTGCCCTTCCTTAATATCGCCAAATATCTTACAAGTTTTTCTCAACATTCTTCAATTCTACAATTTTTTTCTCTGGCAATCCAAAGAAGAAAATTAATGAGGATTAAAGGAGTTAAACGGAACATTAATGGAAGCGTAATGGAATTGACGTACAACTATCATATGGAAAGATGGAAGGAGGGATGTGGTGAATTTGATGAGTATATTAATGGAATATACGCGGCCTGAGCAAATTTTAAGGCAGTGGACTTTAAAAAAAGAATTTTTTTCAGTAGATTAGCCACGAAAAAGCTGTCATTGTCATGCCATCTATTATTTTATAATTTTTATTGTGATGTTGTTGTTAAGATTGTAAAAAATGAAGGTCGTCTTATATCGCTCTGGAGGATAAAAAAGTAGAGGAAATATTTAAAATTACGGTACTAAGTAATGGGATTAAAGCGAAGAATTAGAATGAGCTGGGCTTTGGGAATGCTTGGCGAGAGAAATATTTGGCTAAGTTTGGCTGATATTAGTTAATGAACGAACTTCATTAGGCAGTATAATGAATTTTTAAGAATTTATGAATTTATTAGGTTTTTTATAAGTAATAAGTATTAAGTTGCCATAATTTTAAAAAAAGAAAGCGATGCAATCATAAATTCATAATTAGGAAGAATTTCGAGAACTGTTAAGTGATATCTGGACCAGGAACATTTGCTGATAACGAATCGAATGAGATTTAGTTCAGAGATTCCGTAAGCAGAATTTTCTAGGTTTTCTCAAGGTTGCAATATTCTAACACACATACCCATGTTTAATACACATACGATACTCGACTGTAACATGCACTTTTTTTTTGTATGTAAATTCCAACATCTTAAAATCCAAACCTTTGATAACTCGCCTGTTTTTTCTTTTGCTCAATACGGCCTCCAGTCCCTTCAATAAGATCCTCTTAGACATAGATTCTCTGACTCTATCACGCCTTACGTCTCGGGATGTAATTTCTTCAAGTCCCAATTAAATTGCATAATTGCATAATTAAAGGTCCATAAAACTTTTTTTTAAATTTCTTAATCCCATAGAAATCATTATAGTCTCTCGAAAATTTTCTTAGAACGGATACAATTCTTGTAAAATAATCTTAACTATCCGTACTGAACACTTTATCTCCAAAAATTGGCTATATTCCTTCAATTCAATCTTTTGATCTATTTACCGCAATCTATTGGTAAAATCACTTTAAACTTTTTTCTGTTATTCAAAACCAGTTGTGCCTCTTTAGCTCCGCTCCGCTTTCACTTTATGTGCCTTTTAGTGTACTTTTCCATCTGCAAATTATATAAATGCGAAGTAGTAGATAATAGTAGTAGATAGATAATGTTAATTGGAGTTTTCAAGTATGTATAGAGGAGAATTACTGAAGGAGCATTATGGAAATTAAATGAGTTTCCTAGAGAGATTGCTTAATTTCTTAAGGTTTGAAGATTATTTTGCCTATCCATAGGACAGGTATTTTAACTAGTTGGTTAGAAATTTCCTCTGTAAATTGCTCTGATAACTCTATAGCTCTTTTGTTTTCTCTTTCGCGATTATAAGTTCAAAATTAAAATTTTAGGAGTCCTCACCATTAGTGGTTGAACTCGCTCCATTGGCTTGTCACATTGAGCAATATACCTTGGCAATAGAAAAACAGGTGATACACAGGTAAGTCCCCAGCATAACCCGGATTTTACTCCTGCGAACCTCAGCATCAACGCTCTCTAATCGAGCAACAACCCATTGAGCATAAAATTAAGTTTAAAATTAAAATAAAGCCAGAAAAGATTGCAACTTGTAAAATAAATTGATAAACTTATAATAAACTTATAAATTGATTTCTTATTAATTATTCACTTGAGTGATTACGGAGAGTGCGAATACTTTCGGTAAAAAGTGTCTCATCAAATGATGATTTTTTCTTGGCTTCTTCTATGCTATAAAACAATATTTTTCTAGATAAAATAAATAATGTGTTACAAAAATAAATAAATAAATACCATAGGCAATCTGGCTGTAAATTATAATATCACACTTTCTAATCTAAAATATTGGTAAATCTTAACCTAGAAATGGCTTCGTTGATCCCATAATTCAATATTGAAATAATCTAAATGCTTTAACTACGAGAGGAATACAACGACAGCAGGATAAAAAACAAAGATAGAATTTTTTCGAATGACATCCATCAATCTTTCGTCCACATCCATATAGTGAATTAGCCCCAATTCCTTATGAAACAAGCAGAAAATTATTACAAAATGTAAACACTCGATGAAATCAAAATTATCATGCGTTCATAAAGCCAAATAACAATATAACATGAATATTATTATTATTTAAAATATTTAAAATTTATAAAATTTATAACAAATGGCAAAAGATTTTTTTTTTTCAATTTATTCTAATATATTTTTATAGCTTATTTTTCTTTTTCTTCCAACAGTTCTCATTACTGATTAAGCTGGCTTCGCTGGCTACAAAGGTAAGAAATCTCCAAGCTACTCGGTATGACGCTATTGCTAGTTGTAATAGAAGCCGTTCCTGTTTCCATCGTCTAAGTCCATATATTGCTGGTCCCTCTATACGTTCAAAATCTTTTTTTACTGTATCAGGTCTTATTTGTTCTTTTCGCTTTTGAGAGTCGTGAGACATCGTCACATTCTATCAATTTCCAGAGCGTTCCTCTATCAATCGAATCGAAGGCATCTGCAAAATCCATAAAGCAAGTTACGGTGAATTGCTGGTATTTGAAGAGATATTCCAGCATCCTTTTTACCGTAAATATCTAGTCTGCACAATAGCGTCCCAGTCTAAATCCAGTTTAGTTAGGACGCATTCTGCTATCTCATGAGTCATGCAGAAGAGAAGCGAAAATTTTTCCAGAGATGTCCAGTAAGTTGATTTCTCTGTAATTGTCCTGTCATTTTTCTTAAGAATTAGAAGCAGAATTGCTTTGCTCCAGACTTCTGGTATTATTTTCTTTTGCCATACCAGAGAATACATTTATTTAAGGTGAGCTATGA